CAAAAAATAATATTTCGATATTCTAAAATAAATCAATCTCTAAATCGCTAAAAACATTCAGAAAAATAAAAATGTTTCGTAATAACCAAAGAGATTGATGGTGAATGTTGTCAACAATAATTCTTCAGCACAATGCCTTTATGACATGGAATGAAAAATTGCTATCTTCACATTTTTGAGACAGAAATTAGATTATATTCTCATTTTATTGTTGTGCATGAAGATTCATAAACATTTTGATTTGTTTTTGATGTCTAGTGTGCAGGATTTTTATTTTGTCTATTCATTTTTTATAGTGCGTGATATGCTTATAAAATTTTCTCATTCTTAAATATAAACGGAATTGATATATTGAAACATTCCTAATATTTGTCATTGTCTCTTGTTTTATTTTTGGATTGCAAATTTTAGATTCCATAGTCAGCAACAATAATAATTTTTTGAAAAAGATTTAAATTGAAATTAGTGTTTGTTTTTACTTTATTATCTGCATATGCGAAATTGTAAGCACAGAAATATGTGGCTGCATATGTGCGAATGCAAGCAGTACATGAATAATTTAATTTTAATGTGTATTGTGTGACTAATTAATTTTTGATGAAAGCATAAACAAAAAATAGTTCATTCTCCTGATTCATACTTTTTCTTCTTGTTTGTTGTATGAAAATGTGCAGAAGTAATGAAAAAGCTAATTATTTTATAATTAAATTAAATTTTAATTAAAACAATACACAATTTTAGTAACTTTGAGCATTTAGTTTTAAAGTTTTTATCTGAGTGCAACGAACAATTTTTTCGTTTTTTTTTATCATTGTCATTTGGAAAACAGTTCCGTAATTATAGTTTGACGGTTGAGCAAAGCTTTTTGTCGGCAACAATATGTGATTATGTACAAAAAGAAACAAGAGTGCGGAGATGTTATTTGATTTGATATAGAAAGAATAATCGGAAATAAGAGAAATTTTTTCAATTTCTTTTCCTTTTTTGCTGATGCCAAATATTTGATACGAAATTAGATGTTTTCATTGAATGGACAGTGCTTAATGATTTTGTATGTTGAATTCGATTTTTCCTTCTTTATATTAGATTCTTTCTTTTGCCTTTTTTTTTATTTCTCTCTTCAAGTTGACTAACTTGAAGCATTTTTTATTACTTTTTTCTCTTTCAATTTAGTTTCTACGTTTTCTTTCCTGATCAATATTTCAAATGTGATGAACAGCAAATACATTAACAGGTGACATTATGTTTTAAATTATGCTTTTACGAAGACAATTAGCAAACTAAAATATATTATTCTGCTTGTTGGCTTCAAATAATAAAAAATTAAGGTAAAAGCTTTATCTACAAAAAAAGAAGAGAATGGATGAACAATAAGCAAGTAAAATGCGCATTTCTTTGCAGTTTAATGCCTCATAATGTGCGAAAAACTTATCAACATAGTAATTATTTTTGTTTAAGCCATGAAGAAAAATTCCATTCACTTGCGTGTTGAAAATCATATATGTGCATCATTGCGTTTTAACTTTGCATTTTGCACTAGGCATAAGGAATAAAATAAAACGTCATTAATGGGTTGAGACTTTCTTAATATTTTATATTAATTAATTTTATCATACAAAGTTGCATATATTGATGAGAAAAGATTTAACTCTTATTGCTCTACTGCTCATTTTCAATTGTGCTTCTCTTATCAATAGTTTAATGATGATTACTGTTGCATATTTTTTTATAAATTGCTTACGTTCAATTTTATGGTTCATTTAAGTTGTGATGCTGAGATAATGCTTTCATTAAATTCTAGATATGAATTGAAATTGACATCATATGATATAATGATAATGTGGTCAATTAATCATTGCATCTACATATTAACAGGTATTAAAAGTAAACTTTCGACTGTACAAAATGTCGTGATAAATTAATCATAGGACAATATTTCGAAGTACTTTTGAGAGTTTTGCCTCAAAAAATTAGAATTCACCAAAAAAAGACGATAAAAACAACAAAAGGACTTTACTTGTTGTGAAAATGCGAAATTTTTAAAGAAAATGGTAGCAAAATTACAAAAAATATAAGAATATCGATGTAATATATCAAAATGTAACAAAACTTTTGGTACGTACTTCCTTTATAAATTGAAATTTTTCGTGTTCTTCGTAATCCACAGTTGAGAGAATTTTTTATATATGTGAATTGTTCCTACTGCTTGCTTGATGATACTCAATAATATTTTTTTTGCACTAAAATATATTTTTCAATGCACGTCACGTCTTTTTCTGTTACACACTATTGACTTTTACTGTGTGTAATTTTTGGTATTATCAGAAAAAAAATTGATGCTTAAATATCAATTTTCTTCTTCACTGAAACTACATCACATCATCACATAATATTTTACGTATACACAAAACACTCAATAAAGATAATTTAACTTAAACAGGAGTAATGATGATTGCAATTTCATGTACCGCTTTATTGACAAAAGCTTCACGTTTCGGAGCAATTTTTTTTTCTTCTCTTGTTAAGTTTGCAGAACCATTTTTGTCACAAAACATTAAATTTTTTTATATTCAAATATTTTAAGATTCTTTGTTATATATTTGTTAAGTAAAATCTTTTAACGTATTGAATGAAGAATTCCGTGTGGTTGCCACAAAGTCTCAAAACACAATGAAAGCAGTGAAATGCTCAAGAAAAATCTCATGTTGTGCACACTCATTGTTTTTCTAATGCTTTATATCAATGCTTCAATGTTTTTTATATTGTTCTTATTCTTTAGACATCATCATTATAAAGCATGGCTTAATGTCAAAAAAGTTTAAAAGTTTTAATAATTACGCCCAATTAAGGTTCAATGAAAATGTCAAATTGCAATAACATAAATTTTTCTGATAGAATTTTTGATATTATTCATTGACTTAATCTTTTAGTAAAGTTTTAAATAGTTTGACTGACTTCAATAAAATGAAAGATTATAATAATTGGCAAGATTTTCATAGAGATAGCTTTTCGTCCATAATAAATTCTTTTATTATTGATAATAATTATGACAGACTTTATCTTAGTAGCATTACAATTTAGAATAAAGCTCCTACGTTAGAAAAACTTTTTAACACTTCCGATAAGTTGCATCTTCAGTATACATAATTGTTGCAAAAGTTGCAGCTGTATACTTTTCACTTTACATTATTTAGTACTTAAAGACACGTTTAATAAAAGAAAATTTTTTAAACAAAAATATTGTCAGGAATAACAACGAGACATTTAGTTATTTTCTAGACTAGAATATCAAGTTTGAAAAACTTACAAGAATAAGTTTATGATAAAGCCAAAATGTTTTTTTTGCATTGTCACTAAATTGAAAGTTTTTTTGAGCTTCCTTACCCATTCTTAGAGATTTTCTCACTAATTGAAAACTACGAATTCAGGGTTCCTCACAAAAAAGACAAAAAATGTTGATGCCAAGAACATAAAACGAGGATAAAATAATTTATTCAACTTAAAGATTTTATTTTTTGATGGGTTTCTTTTACTTTAAGGAAAAACAATTTCTCGTTTTCTTCCAATCATGCAATGACAATCTTGTGTGGTGAAAATCCTTTATTTGCAACTGAACGGTTGCATTTGATCCCTTTAAATATTTTAATAATCTATGCTTTTTTAGATTCTTAAAATTTACGACGGTGTTTTTGTTTTAAATTTATGATACATCTTAAATGTTTATATTCGGAATTTATAAAAAAATATTATTTAAGAAACCAGTTAATAGCCGGTAATTTTGCTAAAAAAACCGGTTAGTTTAGAGATGAACATAGTTTACACTTATTTACTTTTATTTTAGATTTGGATAACAAAGTATAAAGAAGAAGCACAAGTTAAAAAAAAATGCTTAAATTTGAATGTTACTGTTTTTAAACTTTGTAAATGAATGAAAAAACTAGTGTATCTGGTAGAAACCCAATGCGGCCATATTCACACCGTATCATCAAAAGTTTTATGGATAGACAAAGATTTGTTCAGCATAAGTTTGCAGGTGTAAAGCTTGATAAGTCAGCTGAGCTTGGCTCAGCATAAGTTTGAAGATTTATGGCTTGATGAGTCATAAGTTTGAAAGTCTAAAGCTTAACGAACATCTTTATAAAAGTTTTTTAAAAAAAATTTTCATCCAAAGTTGAATTTTATAAAAATCACAGTAAACTTTTGTTTTAAAAAATTCGTAAGAATGGAAAGTTTTTTGCTTTTTCTGAAGCAACGGCTGTTCCTACCTTGCCTAAAAACAATACAGCTCTTCTATAGAACAGCACGGATCAAATGTAAAAAACTAGAAGTCTCTACGATGTCTCGTTATTGTGATTTCTTGCTGATCAACTTGCTTGCTTGTTTGCTTACAGAAAGCGTATTTTGCGATTTTCTTAGCAATGCCGCAACCAATTTGAAATCTGTTTTTTGCAAATGATGTAGAATTTCAGTCAAAATCTTTTCTTCTGTGACCTTTTATAACCAATTTTGCTTCATTTTCTCACAAAATGCGAAAAACTGATTTTTCAATCTGAACAAAACCAAAACATTCACACGTGAAAACGGTGTGAATATAATAAATTATTGTTAACATTTTAATAAATTCTGAGTGTTATTCAGCTTAAACATTTAATCAAATTATTAAATGTAAAATTCAGAATGCTTTTTTAACAAGCAGCTACCATTTCCAAAGACTCAAGTCAATAAATACTACAAAAAATAGAATATTATAAATTCTTTACAAAAAGAACAGCATTTTTTTTTCTCCTAATCAATTTTCTCAAAAATTACTCTACTAAATTTAAAAAAATAAGTATTTTTACTGCATTTTTTTCATTGTGATATTATCTCTCAAATCTCACAACCCGATGATCGTTTTTGTGATATGAGTGTACAAAGCTCTCTGAAAATTCAGTCTGTAGTGTTAATTCAATTGAATTAAACGTTGAACTTTTACTTGGCGGTGAAAAAATTCTTTTTTAATGGAAAACTTAATTGATCACAAAAGAGTTACTTTGGACGACTATATTAAAACCCTGTCTGATGAGGCTCTTAATGGTGATTTTGAAGAAATTTTCAAACGTGCACCGTTAGCTGCTGATGCATTATGTGGAGTAGGATCATGTAGGGGACGAACATTGCAAAGGTAGGAAAATTTCAAAAAATTAATATACCTGTATTTGAAGGATACAGTAAGTTTTGTGAAAACTTTCATTGAACTTAAAAAAATAAATAATTTAATTATAAATAGTGCCAGTTATAAACGGTTATAAACAATGAATAGAGAATTTGTTAAATTTCAATGTTTTAGCAGGTTTTAGATTTAAAAAGCGACTAATTTGATTAGTTGTGAAATATTTTGTTTATAACAAAAAAGGTGTAAATTATTTAACTCAGTGAATTTTTTTAATCAAAACTTTTTTTTTACAAAAACTACAACATCAATTTTGTAGGTTTTCGGGTTTTTCTTAATTCAATAGTTTTACGATAAACATAAAGAATATGAATCATTAAAGTGAAAATGACGTATCATCAATACAATTGAACGTATTTTAAAAGTAGGTTATATCACAATAAAAATATTATTAATAATTTATATCATCACGTTCTTTATTATTTGTCTAGAAACGCTCCATAAAATTAAATTGTATTCCTTTTGTAGAATCTGTAATGTGATATTATGATTTATTCCTATGTTCTTAGATTTGCAAATAAAAAAGCTTTTGTCCTGGTTCTTGGTGTTGTTGGATTAGTTTTCGCCTCAACTCATAGTTATTATAATGGAACAATCACCACAATAGAAAAGCGTTTTAAGATACCGTCAAGAAACATAGGATTTATAGCAACTGGAAATGATATTACGAGTTTGATGTTATCAACATTCATTGCTTACTATGTAGGAAAAGATAGATATAAACTGCTAGTTAAAATTATCATGACTGATCTTTCAACATGCTGTATATAAACATGTCACTTATCTAAAAATTCTATTTACATTTTCGTTTTCAACAAATAATCTGAATATTCAAGGACACCGACCTCGTTGGTTAGCACTTAGTATTCTTATTGTCATCATTTATTGCTTCATTAACGCAGTGCCTCATTTTGTATATGGACCTGGTGAAGAGGCATTACAACTTACAACAGAATTCGGTGCAACAGCTGATACAGACATTTCAAAACACATGCAAGATGCAAAAGATAAAAAAATGTTATGCAGAGTAAATGGTAGATAAGAATCTTATTTGCTGATAATTTATCAGCTTTGTCAGATGTTAATTTTTTTAGCATCATCCGAGAACGAAACGTGCCGTAATGGTGATGCTGACAATTTTTTTGCTCAAGTCTTCTTCTTTGTTGCACAACTTGTTGCTGGTATTGGACAAAGTTTAAAGCATACTTTGGGAATTTCTTATCTTGACGACAACATCCAAAAATCTAAAACACCGGCACTAATAAGCTTTTCTTACTTCATTCGCCTTCTTGGGCCAGGCAATAAAATTTTAAATGAATTTTTTAAAGTTTTTTTTAACTAAGCTTTTTTCATTCCTCATTTTTATATAGCTGGTGGCTACACTTTAGCATCCTTGTGTCTAGGTATTTACATTGCTCCAGATTTAACACCTACAATAACAAATAATGATCCACGATGGCTAGGTGCTTGGTATCTAGGATGGATTATACTTGGATTTATTCTGTTTTTATTTGTTCCTATCATGGGAATGTTTCCTAAGGAACTGCCACGGTAAAACTAGTAAAAAACGATTAATTAAAAAGTTTTAAAATATTTCTATCCATACACCAACTAGAGCTGCAGTCAGAAACCGCGTTGTTAAGGAAAAGGAAAGAAGGCTTCGAGCAAAATCACTAGATGTTAAAGAATCACATGTCGATGAGAAAACTTCATTCAGTGGGATGTTGGCAACCTTTAAAAGGCTTTTAACAAATAAAGTTTTTATGCTGAATAATTGTGCAAGTGTTTTCTACATTTTTGGGTATGAATCTAAATTAGAAATTAATGTAAATCAATCCTTTTCATTTTCTTTGTACATAGCCTTCAACCATTTTGGACGTATACACCGAAATTAATGGAAACACTTTATCATACGTCAGCATCAGCTTCAAGTTTATTAACGGGTAGTTTTGGTTTGACCGCATCAGCCCTTGGAATATTAACGGCTGGAATAATTATTACAAAATTTCAACCAACTGCAAGAAAATTAACTTTATGGAATGTGGTGATAGGAATCATTTCTGCATTATCCGTACTCTCATTTGCTTTTATGGGTTGCAGTGAAAATGAACATTCTGTAAAATTAAATTTTGACGACGAATGTAATTCGGAGTGCCATTGTGACTACATGAAATATTCTCCAGTTTGTGGAATCGACGGAAAAACTTACATCAGTGCATGTCATGCTGGATGTATGAATATAACAAAATTAAATGGAACAAAAATGTTTACCTCTTGTTCATGTATAGCCAGCAAATTAGGAAATTCATCAACGGTTGGTCCTTGCTCTGTCGATTGTCGTTCAATACTTACAATTTTTATCGCTGTTACATGCATAATGAAATTTTTAGGTGCATCCGGCCGTGCATCAAATTTCCTTGTGGGTATTCGTTGTATTGAAAAGGAAGACAAAGCAGTAGCTATTGGTTTTGGTATGGCATTCGTTCGACTCTTTTCTTCTGTTCCTAGCCCAATTTTTTTCGGTTACATCCTTGATTCAGCTTGTATTGTATTTGGAAAAACTTGTTCAAGCAGAGGAAACTGTTGGCTCTATGATAATTTAAAACTGAGATATAGTTTTAATTTCATTGCCGCCAGTTCTATTTTCATTGGAGCATTGTTTGATTTTGGTGTTTATTGGAACAGTCGGAACTTGAAAATTTTCGATGACAAGAACGATGAGAATAATGATGAAAAAAAGAAGGATGTTGGTTTGAATAAATTGAATGTAGTACCTAATTAATTTATGATTTCATTTTTATTTACACTTGATTATGACTTAATGAACAAATTTACCAGAATTTTCTTTCAAATACCTAAATATTGGCCGGTGTTTTTAAGAATAAGCAACAACAACAATCAAAGTTCACGCCAAGTAGTGAAGAAGATAAACAAATTTCAAAAGCTCTTATTATCATTCCTGTGCCTTCATATAATATACAAAAAAATTCTGAATAACAATGGAAAACTTTTTCGTTCGTCCTCAACAATTTTTTCATTCCATCATAAAATCAATGTTAAAAAGAAAACAAAAGATGAAGGAAAAGTTCTTCCTAAATATCCGAAACGATGGGAAAAAGTCATTTCAATGTTTCTTTTGCTATTGTTGCTGTCATAACTTTTTATGAGAAACAAATTCAAAGTTTTTCATTTGCCAAATGAATTCCTTCAATAAATAATAGGGGATAACAAATAAGAGAAAGATGGAGAGAATCATTAAAGTAGGCACCAGTAAAGTAAATATCATTATAGTGTATATAAAGTAGGAGCTTATTCAATGATTGCTTATTAATTTGTCGACATAAATGAAATAAAAAAACTTTCCCATAGATACGACTTTGATTTGTTGTTTTCTTCTTATGCTTGTGCTTTTTGATGTTGTCTGAAATCTTATCAAAATATTTTCTAGTCCTCTTCTTCTTGTTCTTCTTCATTGCTTGTTCAATTTATGTCTAGAAAACTTAAGAAAAAGGAAATTCCAATTGATTTACCGTAGAAATCAGGATGAAATCTAACATTGGTTAAAAATAAAATTGAGATTTTTCTGATTTTTCGACATTTATGCTGGTTTGTTGTTGCAACGTACAAAAATAGATTTCGTATTAAAAGCAAAATAAATTGAATGGTGCAGACATTGTATAAAAGCTTGTGCTTGCATTTTACAAGTCTTCAAATCTTCTAAGCTTTCATATTGTCCTCTTCAAGAGTATCCTAATTACAGACACATTTCAAGAGAAATAGGGAATAATATAAATCTAGTCAAAAGAAAAGTAAGACGTGAGACCAAAAAAAAATTATTTGTTGTTCTACACCACTAAATGAGCTACTATTAATATCTTAAACAGTATCTGATAAAAATTCCAAAAGATTCTTACTTTATTTTGCTAAACCAATCATGCACTTTATTGATTGCTTTTCATCTCATCCAAGTCTCATCTAAATATCATAAAGAATCTAGAAGAAAAATATTATTAAATTTCTGTCTCGACTTGTTTTTCAGAAAAAATGATTCGCCTCATACAGTAGTTGCAGATCAAAAAATTCACTGATGTCAATATAAAAGATTAAATTATGGATTTTCAGTGACATGAAAACAGAGGATTTTAAATGTGGGAAGAAAAGATGTTGCTTGAAAAATCATGCATACTGTAGAACAAAGAATCGACACATTGAAAATGTTCAGCATCGTTTTAATTTTTCATCCTTTGTTTTATCAAGTTGCTTCTTTCTCATTACTTTTTGACATTTCAATCCTTTTCTATCGCTAAAGCAAAAGTGCTTAGGAAAAGAGTAAGCGATGATAGACTTTGATTGTTGTACTTTGTGCTTTATCTCATCTATTTGCCTTTTTGTTCCCTACATCGATGTAGTATAAAGAACCCTTAACGTGATTCTAAAGGAAGATAGAACGAAGAAAGGAGAGCCAAAAGTCTCTTGTTCTTTATGCCATTGAAGATGCAATGTGAGATAAAAATACTTCTGTGAAAAATATTTCTTTATTTGCTTTCTCTAGAGAAAAATATTTTCAAGCGAACATTCTTATGTTCTGCTTAGTTCACTTAAGTTTTGTTTTTCTAGAAAGAATGAAAATAGAAAATGTGGAAACTTTTTTCCAAATAGATTTGTATATTTTTAAATCATCTACAGCTGATTGGAAATGAAGTCAAATAAGGAAAGAACAAAAAGAGATTGAAAAGTTTCATGATAAGTTGCTTGGAAAAGTTGTCGATGGAAGCATTATAAATTTCAAAGACGATGAGAATGAATGAACAGCATGCAATCGAGCTAAATTAGAATTTTCGTTTGAAATAAATCTCTTTATTTTGAGCAAGAGAGCAGTTTATGCAAGTTTATGTCATTTTTAGTGTCATTCAAGAAAACTAGCATAAACCAATTTATTATTCCACAGACGAAAATTTTCATTTTCAATGACCTTTAAAATATGCATGATTTTATTTAACTTAATTTATGTTGAGATGAAAAGAGGAAAGCTATCCACATCGTTAGCTCTTTCATTAAAACTTTGTTTAGTAAAAAGTTATTATCATAGATTTCAAAGCTTTTGATTTAAAAATAACATCAACTTTATGAAAGGATAGCGTATTTTAGATATTTCCCATGCTTGTATGATGATCGGTATAGACATCTCGATGTCAACTTTAAAATAATAATTTAAATCTGCAAAAAGGTACAGACGTTTGAATTAAAAATGCCTCACTCAGTAAGATTACAATAAGCTGGAACCACATTACTTTTATTCTAATTTTTTCAATTTTTTTCTAGCACTTTAACATGGACGATTCTTTAAAATAAATAAGGTTCCAAATAAGAGCAAATAAATTTTTTTTATTTAAGTGTTATTTATTCAATATATAAGTCTGTATACATATTCTAGTTACGTCATAATTTTTCAACAAGTTTAGTATATTAGAACATACAAAATTTGTTAATTTGGCTCGTTCTGCAATTTTTTAAAGGCAATAATACATTTTTATTTCAATTACAAATTTTTGTGCATTGAATTAAGGAAAAAGCATTTAAATATTATACATAGACAATTTCTAAATTATTCCTCATCTCCAGCAGTTAAGATCAAATTGTTATGAATACGAATGTTTGCGAATCCATATTCCTTTGCTGTGTAAACACCTTTCAAAGCTTCAACAAATGGATCAAATGTAAAAGCACGGCTTACACCTTGTTCTCCTTCACCAAGTTCCTGGCCAAAATCATGTTGTTGAAGGTTTAAGAATGTCAGATTAGCATATCTTAGTTTTGAGCGTAATTGTTTAAATGCATCACATATTTCAGCTCCAAAGACTTCATCGTTTGAAATGGCAAATGAAACTAGTTTAAGAACTTTTATGGTATTTAACTTTTCGGCAAGTTGATTGACAAACTCAGTGCAGAATGGCAATTTAGTTTTTATTTCGAGACTTTCAAGGTTCTCAAAAATCTCAAGGAACTTAAAGAATTTGTTAGAATCCACCATTTCTGATCCCCAGAAATCTAAACGAAGCTTCTTCAGGTTTGAGTTCTTTACATCTTCATCGCCGTCAAATACATTTGAAAATTCAACTGGATTATTTGCTTCGCCAAATTTAATGCTCAAACTCTCAAGATTTGTAAATGCTCCAACAAAGAAGCTGATTTTATGTCTGGTTCCGAGAGTTATCCTTAAGGATTTTAGGTTCTCATAGTTTGCTCCAAGTGCAGTATAAGTTTCAGCTGGTATATCAAATGACCATAATCTCAAAACCAAATTTTCCAAAGTTGTGTTCTTCAACGAACTGAATTCTTGAAAAACTGGCAATGCGCGGTCTCTATTTGTTTTAAATTCCACATTCTTTAATGATGTTAAGTTGGAAATCGATTTAATTCCATCGACAGAAATTTCATCCACATTGATAAGAAGCGATTCGAGTTGTGATAAGGCACAAATTTCTGCAAAGACTGAATCATCGACAAAACAGAATGAATAATCCATATCATTAAGCAGGTCTAAGCTCTTTAATTCCGTTTGTGATTTTATCAATTCTGTCAAAAATGTGCGCTGACTGTCGGTTTCATCCTTTCTTTCAATTAATATACAACGAAGACTCTCAAGCTTCAAGTCTTTCAGTGAATCTAATGTATTGAAATCGCCATTACAAATTTCCAATTGCTTCAAAGTTTGTTGTTTCTTGATGAATGTGCTAAATTTAGCATCTACCTCACTTACACCTTTAACTTTAAGGCATTTAAGCTTATTATCTGGCAGAGCAGCCGATAAGAAATCGAAAATGAAATTTCCACATTCATTAATATCGACACAGCACAAATTTGCTAGTTCTAAGCTTTCGACAGCAACTTCTCCAGTCAATTCAGTATGCCATGATGAAAATTGAACAAACTTCAGTTGGGGCAAGCAGTTAATCATAGCAGAAAGGTCTGCAGTTGATAATGTATATTTACTCCAATTAGCCCAAGTTAACTTCTTCACGTTAGCTCCTTTCTCGTTAAAAAGTCTCTTTAATTTCTCTAAATCGTCATCATTTTCAATTTCCATCCAAATATCAAACTCCTCAATATCATTGTTCGACTCAAAAATAGATTCAAAAGACTGGAAATAAATGAGGAAAGGAAAATGATAAACATTTCAGTAAAAATCGATTAATGTTTACACACTTAGTGTTTTTTCGTTCAAGGTCGAATTGCCGGATAATTATCGAGTCTTTTTCTTTAAATTGAGAATATTTTAGATATGACTCAATCACTATAAATAGGTAGATGATAATTATTACGTTTGTTGAAAATTAATGACTAACATCTGATTAATATCTAATTTTCTATGTACTTTGGACGCCTACACATTTTATCATATTATTGATCTTATGAAATTTTGATCATTTACGCCCAAAACTCAAAATGATAATTATATTAAAATGAGTTCTTACACTTTTCGTCATGCTTCCCAAATCAACTTTGTATTTATTGTCACCAATAGATGCTAAAATTTCTCTTTCCATGATGAATTATTTAAAAGAATTATTCGAGGCTGATAAGATATAACTTAGTATTTTTTACACTTCTGTACAACACCGATGTTCGTTACTGAATGAAAATAAATGTTTCAGTGAGTAAATTTAAATGCGAAAAAAAACATAGCACGGATGACTCATTGCATTATACCGAAAATATTTTCTACATATTTTCATACACTCATGAAATTCGATTTCTTTTAAAAATCGTTGTCATCGGAATTTATTTCATCTTAAATTATAATGCTCAAAAATAAAATCAATAAAATTAATAATAATGTGGATTGAATGTGACCCAATGGGCTCTGTCCTGCTTCTGTTCGCTTTCATGGCTTGTAAAAAGGGATTTGAAAACTTCCGTTGCGTCCGAGTCTTGTGCTATACTGTAATCTTTTTTAACTTTCTTTGAGTTTGGATCTAAAGCAAATTGGTCGATCACAAGTTCTCGTTTACTTGCAGAAATTGATGGTCTTATTGTTTGAAGAGATGGACATTTAGACGATGTTTCAGGTTTAGTTTTTGATATGTTAGCAAGCGATTTTGATGAAGATGGAATATCTTCTTGTTTAACAGCAGTTTCTTCTTTTGGTGTTTTAGATTTCTTCTCTTTCTTTGCTGCTTTCAATCTTGCTACTCTAGCTTCCATTTTAATTCTCATTAAATCAGTGTCTATTTCATTTCCATTAAGTATAACAATGTCTGTTTCCGTATATGGAGTTTGACAAATTGAGCAGGTATTAGATTTTAATTCCTTCAATGCTCTTTCTGAGAAAACGCAACCACAAGTCCACAAACCGACAAAGCCTGAAAATATTTTATTCATTAGTCAATCCTAATAATTAGCTGAAAATTAATACTTACGGAATTGACCACTCATTTCAAGACCAATCAAAGCACAAATGAATGGAGCATTCTTTTCATCTTCTGAAGAATAAGCTGGATTTGCCGCTAAACGAAGATCCTTAATATCCTTCAAGCTTTTGATATGAGAACAAGATTCTGGCATTTTATCTTTCTCCAATAAACACTCAATAACTGATTGTTTAGAATAAAGTCTTCCTAATCCACACATTACAATTGGCTGTTGTAATTTTTGTTGAGTTAATGCACAATGTCTCCATCGATAGTGTCGTTCTGAATCTTTGTCTTTCTGGAAGTTAAAAATCATTTTATGAAAAATGAAATTATTTTTTAATTATTTCACTTACAGCTTCTGGTTTTTTCTTTAAGCGAACAAGCTCATCTCGTCTTGGAATAGTTCCTCCATCACATCCCATGATTTATTTAAAGCTTTACCAAAATATAGCAGTGAAATTTAATAAAAATTTTAATAGCATTTATTTTTCACTTTTATAAATTCTATTTTGGTTTTGTTGTTGTATTTTTTCATGTTTAAAAAAACCGTTAAAAAATTACGACTATGTATTGTGTTATGTTAATTTAAATGTTTCCAGCTATTACAAAAACCTTGTCGTTATTAAATCAGTACTTAATTAATAAAAAAATGAAATGAATAATTTTAAAGCAGAGTTACAATTTAATATAAAAGCAGTTTATGTTTATCTCAACGGTAATATAAAATTCGAAAAAACAACGAAAATTTAAATTTAAAACAGGAAATTTCGTTACAAGATTTGAAGTTTTATTTTTGGACACAATAAGTTAAACTGAGTTGAACCAATGTTAAAAATCAAAAGATATAAAAATTGTTATAAATGATAAAGAATGCTAATAAAGATACAAAATCGATATTTTTTTTGAAAATAGTCTAATATGATCGAAACCAAAAATGCTTTAAATTGCATTTTAAAACATATCTAGGTATTATAAATGACAAAGAATGCTAATATAGATATAAAATCGATATTTTTTTTGAAAATAGCCTACTATGATCGAAACCAAAAATGCTTTAAATTGCATTTTAAAACATATCTAGGTATTATAAATGATAAAAAATGCTAATATAGATACAAAATCGATATTTTTTTTGAAAATAGCCTACTATGATCGAAACCAAAAATGCTTTAAATTGCATTTTAAAACATATCTAGGTATTATAAATGATTAAAAAATGCTAATATAGATACAAAATCGATATTTTTTTTGAAAATAGCCTACTATGATCGAAACCAAAAATGCTTTAAATTGCATTTTAAAACATATCTAGGTATTATAAATGATAAAGAATGCTGATATAGAAATAAAATCGATATTTTTTTGAAAATAGCCTACTATGATTGAAACCAAAAATGCTTAAAATTTCATTTTAAAACATATCTAGGTATTGTAAATGATAAAAAATAATAATGTAGATATAAAATCGAAATTTTTTTGAAAATAGCCTACTATGATCGAAACCAAAAATGCTTTAAATTGCATTTTAAAACATATCTAGGTATTATAAATGATAAAAAATGCTAATATAGATATAAAATCGATATTGTTTTGAAAAAAGCCTACTTTGATCAAAACCAAAAATGCTTTAAATTGCGTTTTAAAACATATCTAAGTATTTTAAATGATAAAGAATGCTAATATAGAAAAACAATCGATATTGTTTTGAAAATAGCCTACTTTGATCAAAACCAAAAATGCTTTAAATTGCATTTTAAAACATATCTAGGTATTATAAATGATAAAAAATGCTAATATAGATATAAAATCGATATTTTTTTGAAAATAGCCTACTATGATCGAAACCAAAAATGCTTTAAATTGCATTTTAAAACATATCTAGGTATTATAAATGATAAAAAATGCTAATATAGATATAAAATCGATATTGTTTTGAAAATAGCCTACTATGATTGAAACCAAAAATGCTTAAAATTTCATTTTAAAACATATCTAGGTATTATAAATGATAAAGAATAATAATGTAGATATAAAATCGATATTTTTTTGAAAATAGCCTACTATGATTGAAACCAAAAATGCTTAAAATTTCATTTTAAAACATATCTAGGTATTATAAATGATAAAGAATAATAATGTAGATATAAAATCGATATTTTTTTGAAAATAGCCTACTATGATCGAAACCAAAAATGCTTTAAATTGCATTTTAAAACATATCTAGGTATTATAAATGATAAAGAATGCTGATATAGAAATAAAATCGATATTTTTTTGAAAATAGCCTACTATGATTGAAACCAAAAATGCTTAAAATTTCATTTTAAAACATATCTAGGTATTATAAATGATAAAGAATAATAATGTAGATATAAAATCGATATTTTTTTGAAAATAGCCTACTATGATCGAAACCAAAAATGCTTTAAATTGCATTTTAAAACATATCTAGGTATTATAAATGATAAAAAATGCTAATATAGATATAAAATCGATATTGTTTTGAAAATAGCCTACTTTGATCAAAACCAAAAATGCTTTAAATTGCATTTTAAAACATATCTAGGTATTATAAATGATAAAGAATGCTGATATAGAAATAAAATCGATATTTTTTTGAAAATAGCCTACTATGATTGAAACCAAAAATGCTTAAAATTTCATTTTACAACATATCTAGGTATTATAAATGATAAAGAATGCTGATATAGAAATAAAATCGATATTTTTTTGAAAATAGCCTACTATGATTGAAACCAAAAATGCTTACAATTTCATTTTAAAACATATCTAGGTATTATAAATGATAAAGAATAATAATGTAGATATAAAATCGATATTTTTTTGAAAATAGCCTACTATGATCAAAACCAAAAATGCTTTAAATTGCGTTTTAAAACATATCTAAGTATTTTAAATGATAAAGAATGCTAATATAGAAAAACAATCGATGTTGTTTTGAAAATAGCCTACTATGATTGAAACCAAAAATGCTTAAAATTTCATTTTACAACATATCTAGGTATTATAAATGATAAAGAATGCTGATATAGAAATAAAATCGATATTTTTTTGAAAATAGCCTACTATGATCGAAACCAAAAATGCTTTAAATTGCATTTTAAATCATATCTAGGTATTATAAATGATAAAAAATGCTAATATAGATATAAAATCGATATTGTTTTGAAAATAGCCTACTATGATTGAAACCAAAAATGCTTAAAATTTCATTTTACAACATATCTAGGTATTATAAATGATAAAGAATGCTGATATAGAAATAAAATCGATATTTTTTTGAAAATAGCCTACTATGATTGAAACCAAAAATGCTTAAAATTTCATTTTAAAACATATCTAGGTATTATAAATGATAAAGAATAATAATGTAGATATAAAATCGATATTTTTTTGAAAATAGCCTACTATGATCGAAACCAAAAATGCTTTAAATTGCATTTTAAAACATATCTAGGTATTATAAATGATAAAAAATGCTAATATAGATATAAAATCGATATTGTTTTGAAAAAAGCCTACTTTGATCAAAACCAAAAATGCTTTAAATTGCGTTTTAAAACATATCTAAGTATTTTAAATGATAAAGAATGCTAATATAGAAAAACAATCGATATTGTTTTGAAAATAGCCTACTTTGATCAAAACCAAAAATGCTTTAAATTGCGTTATAAAACATATCTAGGTATTATAAATGATAAAAAATGCTAATATAGATATAAAATCGATATTGTTTTAAAAATAGCCTAATTTGATCAAACCAAAACTGCTTTAAATTGCGTTTTAAAACATATCTAAGTATTTTAAATGATAAAGAATGCTAATATAGAAATAAAATCAATATTCTTTTTAAAATAGCCTACTTTGATCATAACCAAAAATGCTTTAAATTGCGTTTTAAAACATATCTAGGTATTATAAATGATAAAAAATGCTAATATAGATATAAAATCGATATTTTTTTGAAAATAGCCTACTATGATCGAAACCAAAAATGCTTTTAATTGATTTTTAAAACATTTCTAGGTATTATAAATGTTAAAAAATGCTAATATAGATATAATAAAATCGATATTTTTTTTGAAAATAGCCTACTATGATCGAAATCAAAAATGCTTTAAATTTCATTTTAAAACATATTTAGGTATTATAAATGATAAAGAATGCTAATATAGATATAAAATCGATATTTTTTTTTGAAAAAAACCAACTATGATCGAAACCAAAAATGCTTTAAATTGCATTTTAAAACATATCTAGGTATTATAAATGATAAAGAATGCTAATACAGATATAAAATCGATATTTTTTTTTGAAAATAGCCTACTATGATCAAAACCAAAAATGCTTTAAAATGCATTTAAAAACATATCTAAGTATTATAAATGATAAAGAATGCTAATAAAGAAATAAAATCGATATTTATTTTGAAAATAGCCTACTATGATCGAAACCAAAAATGCTTCAAATTGCATTTTAAAACATATCTAGGTATTATAAATGTTAAAAAATGCTAATATAGATATAATAAAATCGATATTTTTTTTGAAAATAGCCTACTATGATCGAAATCAAAAATGCTTTAAATTTCATTTTAAAACATATTTAGGTATTATAAATGATAAAGAATGCTAATATAGATATAAAATCGATATTTTTTTTTGAAAAAAACCAACTATGATCGAAACCAAAAATGCTTTAAATTGCATTTTAAAACATATCTAGGTATTATAAATGATAAAGAATGCTAATACAGATATAAAATCGATATTTTTTTTTGAAAATAGCCTACTATGATCGAAACCAAAAATGCTTTAAGTTGCATTTTAAAACATATCTAGATATTATAAATGATAAAAAATGCTAATATAGAAATAAAATCGATAATTTTTTTGAAAATAGCCTACTATGATCGAAACCACAAATGCTTTAAATTGCATTTTAAAACATATCTGGGTATCATAAATGATAAAGAATGCTAATATAGATATAAAATCGATATTTTTTTTGAAAATAGCCTACTATGATCGAAACCAAAAATGCTTTAAATTGCATTTTAAAACATATCTAGGTATTATACGTGATAAAGAATGCTAATATAGAAATAAAATCGATATTTTTTTTTAAAATAGCCTACTATAATCGAAACCAAAAATGCTTTAAAATGTATTAAAAACATATCTAAGTATTTTAAATGATATAGAATGCTAATATAGATATAAAATCAATATTTTTTTTGAAAATAGCCTACTATGATCGAAATCAAAAATGCTTTAAATTGCATTTTAAAACATATCTAGGTATTATAAATGATAAAGAATGCTAATATAGATATAAAATCGATATTTTTTTTAAAATAGCCTACTATAATCGAAACCAAAATGCTTTAAAATGCATTTAAAAACATATCTAGGTATTATAAATGATATAGAATGCTAATATAGAAATAAAATCGATATTTTTTTTTGAAAATAGCCTACTATGATCGAAACCAAAAATGCTTTAAATTGCATTTTAAAACATATCTATGTATTATACGTGATAAAGAATGCTAATATAGAAATAAAATCGATATTTTTTTTTGAAAATAGCCTACTATGATCGAAACCAAAAATGCTTTTAATTGCTTTTTAAAACATATCTAGGTATTATAAATGATAAAGAATGCTAATATAGATATAAAGTCGATATTTTTTGAAAATAGCCTACTATGATCGAAACCAAAAATGCTTTAAATTGCATTTTAAAACATATCTAGGTATTATAAATGATAAAAAATGCTAATATAGATATAAAATCGATATTTTTTTGAAAATAGCCTGCTATGATCGAAACCAAAAATGCTTTAAATTGCATTTTAAAACATTTCTAGGAATTATAAATGATAAAAAAATGCTAATATAGATATAAAATCGATATTTTTTTGAAAATAGCCTACTATGATCGAAACCAAAAATGCTTTAAATTGCATTTTAAAACATATCTAGGTATTATAAATGATAAAGACTGCTGATATAGAAATAAAATCGATATTTTTTTTTGAAAAAAGTTTACTATGATCGAAACCAAAAATGCTTTAAATTGCATTTTAAAACATATCTAGGTATTATAAATTGATTTAAATGTACGAAATTTACGAAAAATATTTAAGACGTGCGGTCATAACATGTCACAAATCAGATCAATATTTAAAATAGGAAAATGCACTAAAAAATCATCTTATAGAATCGCCGGTCAAAGAAAGTATGTGCCAGACTGCTCTAAATGTGTTTCATGAAGTAAACAATATTTAATAATAAAAGAGTCGCATATGATCGTAGATCATGTGGCAAGCAATTGAGTTTTGTTAATTCAGTTTATTTTGTATCGTGAGTTCATAAAGTGTGCTAAATCGGAGCAGATATATTTAATGGAAGCTGATCAGCTTTAAGTTTATTTTATAATAAAAAAAAATTATGACAATAATATTTAAATTTATTAAAACAAGAGTATTATAGTAAGTGATGCTTTAATGATTTGCAAATTTTTTTTTTTAAAAGATATTGAATTACACACTAAGCATTAAAAGCTTCTGTAAAAAATAATCATTAATAAAAATTTAAACAAAAGAACTTAAAATGACAGAAAAGACAGAAAATTCTTTAGAAACACATTAAAAATTTCATCATGAGTGATTCAACCGTTGAAAATTAAATTGTTGAAATTAAGTGGATGGGTCAAAGTTACAATAAATAGGAAATAAAAATTTCGTCGCTGATGGAACTAATTTTGTAAAACTAGAGAGTTAACAACAATTATACGAGCCATACTAAACGAAACATGTTCAATAAAAAAAAAATCTTTAACTCAATCACAAGTAAATCACGAGCTACACTTAATTCACAAATGTTTTCAAAGGAGGCGGATTTCATTAAGAAATGGAAGTGACAAATTAAGCAAGTTTGTTTATGTCTAGAACTTTCATGCGACAGCTTCACTTCTTCTTAATTTTATTGTGAATTAAATACATCAGGTTCCTTTGTAGCTACTTGTCATGTTTATAAAATTAAAAAAAATTGCTCTATCACACTTTTGAATTCGGGGTTTTAAATGACTACTTCAGAGACACATTAAAATAATTCTATGGATTTTGACTTCAGACTTGAGTGCTTTTTTTAAAATAATAAAACAAAAATTTATATTAAAGATAATAAAACGAATGAGTTAATCTACATAAAGGAAAAATTAATTTCATTAATTATTCTGCATTAATTACAATTTACTTTTGTCTGTTTTAATTTGAGTGTAATAAATGACATTAAAAAAATCATATTATGCATTCCGTCACAGGTTCGTGAAGCACGAAATCTTTGATAATCAAAAAATAGTGGAACAGTATGTCATCGACTTTAATGATATTTTTCATCATAACAATATGTTTGCATTTAATGGCAGTTTTATGCATGTACGAAGAGCATAAAAAACCTACATATATTGAAGGACGTGTGGGTGGTTATGTTGTGTTCAATTGTAAGAATAAACATTTTAAAATTAAAGATAACGAGGATATGTCAAAAAAAATTCGCATATCTTTTCAGGTCCGCTTGAGTTTCCACAGGAGAATTATCCTATTCCGTATCATCTTCATTGGAGAAAAGATGTGAGTAAATGTCACGTTTTGCCTTAATTAATAAATTAATTGCTCTTTAAATTTAAACAATTTAAATTGAGTATCCACCGTGAAGGGATAAATAAATTACGTAAAAAAAAAACATTTTAAATTTTTCATTCTATAAAAAAAAATTAAGTAATAAAATTTAAATGACACTTATGTAAATTATAATCTAATTTGATAGCGCCATTAATTGAAATTTATGCATACATTATTTTAATATTAGCAATGCATTTACCGCTAGAGATAAAAAATTCGCTTTTAAAAATCAGTATATGATCAAAAGTAAAATTTTATATTCCTAGATTTTGGGAAAAAATTAAGAAAAAATTGATATTAAATATTTAATATGATCAAAGAATTTTTTTTATCAAGCTTGGCCTAGCTTCCTTAGTAAAGTAGTGTTTGTCGAATTATACCAATAGCATGAAAAAGCACTGATCAAGATTCTATAATATACTCAAAATTTAAATCTTTTCAATCATCTGTCAAAGATGTGAAGTTGTTAAGTAGATTAAAATTATTACCTTTTCAATATCTTACTATCCATAAAGATCTATAATAAAGAAAAATTGTGAATTTATAGGAGAAAAAAAGAACATTTTCTTTTCAATGTTCTGAGTCAGCTGCATTCAATTTTAATTAAAGTCAATTAATGTGAAGAAGAATGGAATTGAATTACGTAAGATTACAAAAGCGGAAATGATTTTGTTTGCTGTTCAGGTTGCAAATTGACCTTTTATTTTATTGGAAAAGAGGAATCTATATGGCATATGAGATATAAAAAATCTTTTTATTTCCGCTGCTAGCTTACAATCTATGGGTGAAATAATTAATAGCAAGCATTAATTGAATTCAATGAACATGAATAGTGAGAAATGACGGTTTACGTTTTTGTAAAACATTTCCGACTTATTTAAATACTAGCTTAATTTTTTTTCTTAATCAATTACTGTAATTTCATCAACTGGTCTTCTGCACAAATAAATGCAACTTTATGACTAATCAACATTGATCCTATGCTAACTAGATGCAAACCAATTAAATTCAAACTCGTGATGTAAAATAGATTTGAAGGTTACAAATATTAATCTGCATGATAATTAATATTAAAGCAATTTAAAGTTCATAGGCAATTTAAATTTCAATGTGATAGAATATTATATTTCAGTATTTTAAATGTCATAAATTGAGAGCATATGTTTGAAACTTCAAATATATACTTAAACATATTTCAACTAGCTATAATTTTGAAAATATTTGCAGAATAAATTAATTTTCTCATGGTACGGAAGCGATACTCAAGTAGCAGGACAATTTAGTGGTCGAATTCATCTAGTTGATAATAAAATAGGCATTGGAAAAGCATCAATAAATCTAACATCTGTTCGAGATTCAGATACTGGATGGTACGAGTGTAAAATGAGTTATCCGAATCGTTCACCACAAACACGTAACAATGGGACATGGTTTCACTTAAGTGTTGATGGCGGCACATTATTGAAAATACCACCAGTAAATCAAACAGTCCTTGAATTTGAATCTGCTTACTTTCATTGCTCTGTTAAAAATACTGATACGATGTTTGTTACATGGTTTAAGGATGATGAACTTTTATCTCAGTTTCCTGATTTATCATCGAGGACTGTTATGGGCGCTGATGGAAGCTTGCTAATCACACCTACTATAATGACTGACTTAGGAATGTTTAAATGCCGTGTTCGGAACAATGTAGGGGAAGAAGAAGAAGCTTCTGCTTTTTTAAATGTACAATGTAAGAAAAAATGCTTGATATTCTTTCAGATTTTTTTATAAATCAATTATATATGTGTTAATCTTTCATTTGCTGCCATTTTTAGATAAGGCAAAGGTGATTTATTCACCTAAAGAAGTCTACTTTGCATTTGGTCAAACAGCTATTTTAGATTGTCACTTTCGTTCAAACCCTCCTCTCACCAACTTGAGATGGGAAAAAGATGGAATCTTATTTGACCCATATAATGTTCGAGATGTTTATTATAAACGAAATGGAAGCTTATATTTCAGTGAAGTTGATGATTTGCATTCTGGAAAGTATACATGTACACCATTCAATGAACTAGGAACAGATGGTCCATCATCAATAATCAATGTGATTGTACAACACCCACCTGAATTTACTTTGAAACCAAAATCAGTTTATATACAGAAACTTAACGATTCATTAACAATGCATTGTTCAGCTCATGATAAACACACTGATGAAGATCGATCGCTTATAGCTTGGACCCGTAAAGATGGTTTAGCTTTACCTTACGGAAGACACCATGTTGATGGAGGAAATTTAACACTTGAAAATATAACCGCTCCTGATAGAGGTGTTTACATTTGTTCTGCGATTAATGAAGCTGCAAGAATCGAGACAGAGGCGGAACTAATGATTGAAACTTTCTCACCCAAAGCTCCATCAAATCTTACCGCAAATAGTACTAAAGATTCAGTAACCATTTACTGGACCCAAAATTATCTCCGACCTGACCTTAAATTTACTGTTTGGTATCGTTTATCAGACGGCCTTGAATGGAGAACTCGTCAGTTAAGTTCTAGTAAAAAATATGAAGCAACAATAGACAATCTTGAACCTGCAAGGGAATATGAATTTATGGTTTTGTCACAAGATCGATACAATGATGGCCTTTTTAGTAAACCATATAGATATAGAACAAAAGGTTAAGAGCACTTAATTACACAATTATCTAATATTTGGTAACATTCTCGTTTTGTTTTCAGCTCATGACTATGAGGAACCATCTGAACTACCTAAAAGTACTTTACAATTTTCGCAAATTGGCCCACCTCGTAATGTTTCTGTAAAATTGAATGAAGATGGTTATTTTGTTTCATGGGATGCACCTGAATTTGGTCAAGATCAATTTGGTCTTTATATAATCCGATGGTTTTTAGAACCAGAGCATGAATTATGTGGATCAATAGAAACGAGAAATAATTCTTATACAGGTGAACATAAATAAGATCCGTTTTATTTATTTACTGTCATATTTATGCTTGAATATATTATTATTCTCATTTTTAGTTCCTGAAGATAAATTAGATGACGGTGTTTCGTACAGCTTTCAAGTATCATCAGTTTCAACATACAGTTACGAGGCAGCAAGTGATCTCTATAAAATTGCTACACCCCAATATCGTATTGTGCAAGCTATAACAATCGGAGCAGTCGGATTGCTTATTTTGTTAGCACTTGCTGGCATTTTGTTCTATATGAAGCGACATTTATTCACATCAAATTACTCAAATGATGATAAAGTTTAAGAATAATTTTATTAAAAGTTTAAATGGAGTTGAAGAATTAAAACGAAGCTTTTATATCGATGCCAAAGACTTTTCTATTTCCTCTTTTACTTTCTAATCTATAATAAGAATCTAATCTATTTAAGAAAATGTTTTATTGCAATAAAATAAAAATAATAAAAGAAATCTATCAAAAATTAAAACTAAATTCTGTGAGTCCTGTGGATGTATTTTTTTTATGAATACAAATGAATAATTCTCTCAAAACAAAACATACACATGTTTGGATTCAAACAAGCACATGCGTCATCTTGAATGGATATTTCTCTATACTTTGTTCTTCTCTTCAAATATTTTCGCTCTCATTCCATTTCCATTAAAAAAAAAAAACAATACTTTGAGTGCATGTGTACTGAAAATGTACTCAGCTTATATAACTGGTTTTCTCGCATTATTATTTATCCACTTCTCATCTGCTTTTAATGACTCAGAGTAAATTATATCGTGCATAAATCGGTCAAATGATTCCTCTTTTTTTTTATTCTTATTCCAATCTCATACTTTCCAAATTGATAATTAATTTCTTTAACATTTGATTTTTTTTATAAAGACCGGTTTAATTAATTAATAATGAATGTGGAATGTATGCATTTTATAAGCTCGAGCTTTTTTTAATTCTTATCTTTGCTAATTTCCTTTCTCAACTTTATTTCCTATCAAATAGAAACTAAAATTTTAAACGGAGAATTTATCAAACGATAAACAGCATAAATTATTAATGTTATAGGTTAAAATATTTCTATAATTCAGTTTTTATTTGAAATTGTGATTTGTTTTTATATTATTTAAAGTAAAAAGACAAAAAACAGAGCAATTTAACGTTTCATTTTTTTGGCAACATATAAGCACTTTATTTTAATTTTTGCCAAAAACAAAAACAATGAAGAGAAAAAATTTCTCTTTAAAATATGTTTCTTTTAAGAGTATTGTGAGCTAGACATTTGATACATATATTCGTATTTCAATATTGTTTATACAAAAGAAAAGTGAAATATCTCTGAAGAACTATAAACGTTAAATGTCCATTTTTTAATTTCTTTTTTATGCCAGTTTAATAACCAAAGATAATCAAAAGTTTGATGAATAATCTTAACAAACTATTCCTTTCAAATCTGAGATAAGAATTTTAAAATTGTCTAAAAATTATATTAATTATGTATCAGCATTATTTACTTAACAATAATAAAATTCATTCAAATGTTGATAGCCGGAAACAGATACGTTGAGGGCAAAAATGCTATTCAGTTTTTATTGCCTTTGATATTAATGAAAAAGTTTTCAATTAAAACCTCAAAATTTCATAATTTGACATTGAACTTGCATACATTAGACGAATGTCAAGTTATTTTTGTTGTCATGGATTGTTGATTTTAGTATCAAATGATTTTTTAATTTAAGCTTTTTAAATTTTTTGATGGTTTCTGCTTGCTGAATAAAGTTTTTCAGTCTAAATCTTTATGTTGGCAATATACAGTTTTTGCCAAAGATTCTGCAATTGAAAAGGTTATTAAATGAACTTGATTTGCATTTGAAGAACCTTACATCTGTTTCTGCTGACATTTAAAAGATTTTGCAATAAAATTTTAAATCTTGTATTATATAGATCAGTTGTGGCAACACTTTTGTGCTACGTTACGAACATCATAAAAATAGAAAATACTAATGCCAAACTATAGGGTTTCTATGACACATCAATGATTTAATTACTTAAGAAAGATTTTAAAATTTTGCAATCAGCTTTTAGACTATTAAAATGTGCAAATAAACATAATTATTATGTGCTATTATATATGTATATTATATAATAATAAGAAAAAGTAAGAATCACATCCTTTATTCGGAAATACATCATTTCTCTATCTGTTTAAGAAAGACACTGATTTTTTTTTATTAAGAACATAGAGTTATATAAATCGGAGAAATGATCTTTAACTTTTCAAAATGAAATAATTATTTTTTAAACATGCAATGGAACATTTTTATATTCACACCGTTTTCAAGTGTGAATCTATTGGTTTTGTTCAGATTGAAAAATCAGATTTTTGAAATGAACATTTTGTGCCTGAAATTTCACATCTTTTGCAAAAAATAGATTTTAAATTGGTTGCGGCATTGCTAAGAAAATCGCAAAATACGCTTTCTGTAAGCAAACAAGCAAGCAAGTTAATCAGCAAGAAATCTCATTAACGAGACATCGTAGAGACTTCTAGTTTTTTACATTTGATCCGTGCTGTTCTATAGAAGAGCTGTATTGTTTTTGGGCAAGGTAGGAACAGCCGTTGCTTCAGAAAAAGCAAAACACTTTTCTTTCTTACGAATTTTTTAAAACAAAAGTTGACTGTGATTTTTATAAAATTCAACTTTGGATGAAAAATTTTTTAAAAAAACTTTTAAAGAATGTTCGTTAAGCTTTAGACCTTCAAACTTATGCTGAGCGTAGCTCAGCTGACTCGATAGCTTTATACCTTCAAACATATGCTGAGTGAAGCTCAGCTGACTTGCTAGCTTTATCACTTCAAACTTATGATGAGCAAACCTTTGTCTATCCATAAAATTTTTGATGGTACGGTGTGAATATGGCCGCATTGGGTTTCTATCCGATACACTAGTTTTATATATAATTGAATATTTGTTATGTTGATTTTTAAAATTGTTTGCATTATTTTAAAAGTCTGTAAGGCATTGTACAAGTTATTTACCGTCCATCAAGGACTATGTCGATAAGTTGCAAGCAAACTTCAACAGTCGTCTTGCATCGCAAAACACCGAATAATTCAAATTAAACTCAAAATAAAGCAAAATCCGTAAATTAAAATAAAACTTTAAGCGACAAAAGGGAAATTGAAAGCCTGAAAGAGCTTAAAAGTAAATAATATAATAAGTTCACAGAACAAAGATTAATCATTATTTATTTGGTCTAAATGTTCATTCAGTATTTCAAATATCTAAGAACATGAATGTGTAAAAATTACATCATAAGCTTATTTAGAACATGTGCATCAAATTATTTGTATTTTATGCTCTATACATATGCAAAAAACATCATACCTAGTCATTTCCAGCAGAGCATATGAGAGAATAAAATTTAATTTCGTGAAATGTACTCAACTTCGTGAAAGTCGTCCATACGAAGATTTGTTTATATCGTACAATTTTCTTCGTTTCTTCCGTAAAAAAGTACGCAAAAAAGAAAGAAATTTAGAGTTCAGAGAACTCATAATATGAGAAAAAGAGATGTGAATGAATTTACGAGAGAGAGTGAGAGAGGAAAACTTGCAAAGCTCAGTATGCTGTTTTTATTTGTCATTTTAGTTGTGGAGGATTCGTTAAGCAGTCCACATTAAAAACGTTATTATAGACGGAGAAAATTATCCTTAAAAACAGTGAAAAAATATACAGTTTAATCAATAATTGTAGTATTTACATTTTATAACAATTGGTGGTACAAAAATACCTAAAACATCAAATGTTTTAGACTAATCAATTTAATACTTAATGTGAATTAAAAGTGAAAAAAATTGAATCTATTAAAGAAAATTTTCAGTGATGACCTTCACATTTGTGTCTAGGAAAAAGTGAGAAAATTCTCTACCTAATATTTGTGAATATATAAACGAACAAAGAGGAAAATTTTTGAAATTAAAAGTTTTATTCTTGAATGAATGAATGATAGCCTAACATGGAACAAGTGCAAACGTACTTTATGAATTTATGTTGACATAAATAAATTAAATTGACGACAATTGCCAAGTTGAAACTGTTTTCATCTTAGTGCTTTAGAAACACACATTAATTGATCTTAATTATTAAATTTAATTTATATGTCTGACTTTTTTAAGCAGAAATTTTCTGAAAATGAGTTTAATTAATGCTAGAAGTAACAATCATTTTAAATATCGGTTTCATAAACATATTATATAAATAGCACGAGTGTAACATTTTCATTAATTCGTCTAAACCTAAAATAATTACACACTCATTATCAATTTTTTAATTATTTTAATGGTAGGATGGATATGATATGAACCGCGAATGTTCCAGTGTTAATAATGAAAATAAATAAGTACACTTTGAAGTTAATGGTTGAGATGCTTTAATATGAATTTTTAGCTTGCATATTTTTGTTGCTCTTTATAGAATCATCATAAATATGTATAAAATAAAAATGATTCACAATAAAAATAAAAATAATTTTATGAGAAGAGAGAAAACTCAATATCATATGCACTTTTATGTATTTACACGGTCGTGTCTGACTTTGAAATGAGCACAAATACAATGAAAGCACTCGGGCGCAAGTCAGCTGTTTGTATAAACGAGTTTTGTGATTTTTCCAAACACTTTTTTTCTACTCTTTCTCAAGTTTATTTTTCCGTATTTCTCCACATCAAACAGTCTGATTTTGAATGAGTTCAGTAGACTTCCATTCACGCTACTGTTCACCAGGATTATACATATTTTAAAGCCATAAAGTTACCGACAGTGAAACCGAAACATCATTATGACATCCTTTAGTTTTTATTAATTGTAAAAATACAAAAACCGAGGATAATTTTGAGTGAAATAAAAATTATTTATAATTCTTTTTTACTAACGTGAAAAAGGTATATAAAAAATATGAATGATAGCTAAACAATTAAAATCTGAGTGTTGAACTTTGTGTAATAAACTTCTTGTCTTTTGCATGTGGAGTGTTAAGGAAGTGTTATAAAAAACTTTTATGATCAGAAAAAAGAAAAAAAAAATATTGATTTTTTAGTGACTGGCTTTTTTAGTTTTTGCACTTCTCGTTTTAAGTTCAGACTTGCATTTATGCTAATTACAGTAATTTTTGGCTGTAAAATTAATTTTATTTTTTCCTTGAATTCGTAATTAATAAAAAACGTGTCTATAAATTATTTTCTTTTAAATTCATTTCATACAAATAATAAGATGAGTGGAATCAAAATAAAAATTTATTTTGATTCTAATGTATTTTTTTCATTAAAAAGAACTCTTGACATTAAAAAATTTGGTTGAACGTTTAACTCCATTTGTGGTTTAAATGGTTTCAATATGAAAACATGTCAACCTAGATGGATTTGGTTTTAATAAAAAGAAAATGTTTGCAGCTTCCGTAATAAAACTTAATAAATTTAAATTTTTTTCTTCTTCATGATGAACTTTGAATGAACTTTTGATTCGTGATAAATAATATTTTAGCGAATTTATTGAAATCATTTTTATACCTTTCTTATTAATGTCAACTGCCATTTTACTAAAAAAGTTATTCCATAACGTGTTCTGTTGAATTTCGAATTAAAATTAAAAATTTCCAATTAATGAATCTGAATAAAATTTATTTTTAACTAAGGAGAAATAAATATAAGATATAAGAATTAAAGCCTTAAAAATGTTCGTTTGAAAGAAATGACAGTAAAATGTCATGTAACATAATAAATAATGAAAAATAAGAGAGCAGATACAAAAAAATGAATTAGATTCCTTGCAAAATATGTTTTACAGCAGAATTGTTTTTTCTGTGATTTAAAATATTGTGATTTCAGCAGATTTTTTCAATCAATTTCATTAATGTTGATGTCCATAGATTTTGGATAATAGTAATAGTCTTAATTAGAAGTGTCGTGAAAAAGATGATTACTTAAAGTTTTTCCAATCCAACCTTATCATTTGTTTTTTTCAACAATTTTTTTGATTTTTAAAGATAAAAAAAAATCTTAAACACATTGAAAGAAAATAAAATAAAATAATAATTTTAAAAACAAATAAAAAGTTTAAAATCAGTTTACGCAATTTAAAATGATTTTTTATGAATTTTTTATTTCTTCGTTCAAATATCAATTTGGAACTCATAGGAAAATTAATTTAAAAAAAAAAAAAAAAAAAAACTTTTTTAACCTAAAGAACAATTAACGTCTAATTGAGATCGCCCTAGCAATCAATTATCTTGCAACTGAACTGCAAGACCTTTGAGCTTTAATTTAAACTAATAACTGTTTGCGAGTAATTTGTATTCATTTGCCAAGTTCAAACAAATTAATAAAAAGTCAAGTGCGTAAGAATATTTATTAAGCTAGTAAAGGAAACTTAGTTTGAAAATGTAATTTAAAAAGAAAAATTAAAATATTGCCCATTACATGTCATTTCAGATTTAAACAACTTTATGCTTTAACATTTTATTGAAATTTTGTTGAAAACTGTTGTGCCAAAAAGCACGAAATTCGAACTACAAAATAATATTTTGTGCTTTAAAAATTATGATAAAATTCTAGATAGAAGAAATCATCATAAAATAATACAAAAATTATACGCAAAAAAAGAACAAAAAACAAAATACGAAAATTTTATCTACTGTAACTATGGCAGAAGGAAAAGTTCATTTTCAAATTGAAAACAGTCAACAACTACCGTATTATTCATCAAACAGCTTAAAATCTCCACCAACATCAACTAATTTTAAAAATACCGTAGTTGCTTTAGGGTAAGCTTTATTTATATTTTTTAATTTTTAAGTATTTGGGCAAATTCATGGATAAATATTTTCAAAACTTTTGATTTTAAATCGATTCATCACAAAATATATTGACATTCTTGACAAGTTATCACTCTAATTTCAAATAATTTGTTTAAGTATTCAATAATCATTGATTTTTTTTTCTAATGTGTAATTTAATATAGAATTTTCTTAACTAAATGGTTTATCAACTGAGTATATCTCAAAGTTTTAACACGAAGAAAACTATTTTGCGTGTTCTTAATCTTGATTACTGTTTCCATATTAGCATACAGACAATTTAATTTTTTTGTAAATTTGTAAATTGACATTAGGAATGAAATAATGACGTAAACAAAATAAATCGCTCTATGCTGGGAAATTTTCATTTTTAATGAAAATGGTTTTTGTACACAACATAATGTACTTGCATCAAATTTTATCAAATAATAATACTTGTTATTTTGACAAACTGTTTTGATATTTAAGTTTTTACTCTCAAATGATTAAAATCTATATTATAATCACTAAATCCTCTCCCTGACTCTCGGAATTAATATTAGAATTATCCACATACAAAACAAATTTCAATTCATTATTTTTTCAGAGGCTCGCAAAATAATTTGAATATTTGTAATGGTTCAGTTGTAGCCAATATAAATGAAAAGCATGGATTAGTACGTAAAATTCCTAACGAAATAAGTGGCCAAAGGAAACCAACGGTGAGTAAAAAAGCTTTTTTTTATTAAGCGCTATTCCATCCGTTATTTTTTTTACTTAATCTTTGTGATTGAGGTGATTCAGGTTTCTAAAGTTTTGATATATCGCATCCCATATTTACAAGAACACTTCCAGATTTTCTAAAGTACAAATTATCTTGGCATCATTTTTATGATAATATATATACAAAAAGCTTTCGGTTGATTACATTCAAATTATTTGATAGAAAATTACAAAAAAACGTCTGCGTTTTAATGCTCGGTTTTGTAACAAAAGTAAAAATTATTCTTTGTCTTTTCGTTACCTTTAAAAATGTTAAGTTGTCCTTTTAAAGGAGATTGAATAAGTTAATTTTGATAAAGCAATTTATTTTAAAATGATTTTTGGATTCTATACAGAATGGGGCTAATTTATTTAAATTTAAAATTTAAATAAAAAACTTAAAGTTTTAAAACTTTAAAACTTGAAGAAATTAACAGAATTAAATATGTATATATATATATATATATGTATTCTTCTATCGTTTTTCAAAAGGTTCAATTGACACATCTGCTTCAAAGACCTCCTGTTGATATTGAGTTCCAAAAAATTTCTTATTCCGTATCAGAAGGTAGAGCACGTGGATACAAAACTATTTTGAAGGGTATCAATGGCAAATTTAGATCAGGAGAGCTTGCAGCTGTAAGTAATTTCTTTAAAATGTTAAAGATACATATTAATTCTCATTGGAACATTTAATGATTCGAAAATAATGTTTGCTTTATATTTTTATTAAGATTATGGGGCCTTCGGGAGCTGGAAAAAGTACTCTGATGAATATTTTGGCTGGATATAAGTAAGTAAATATTACTTTATTATTTTTGTCCTTTTTTATTTATTTTGTGTTTCGTTTGCTTATTTCTTACTTTCTTTTTGCATTTAGAACATCAAATTTGAGTGGACACGTTTTGATAAACGGAAAAGAACGTAATTTACGACGATTTAGAAAACTTAGCTGCTACATAATGCAAGATGATCAATTATTGCCGTACTTAACTGTTAAAGAAGCAATGTTGGTTAGTGCAAATCTAAAACTTGGAAAAGATCTCACTGTATCGGCTAAAAAGCTTATTGTTGACGAAATTATCGATGCCCTCGGTCTATCTGATTGCGCAACAACAAAAACATTGAGTTTATCAGGCGGACAACGTAAAAGGCTCTCTGTTGCACTTGAATTAGTGAACAATCCTCCTGTTATGTTTTTCGATGTAAATATAAACATTGATTGACAAGCAGTTCAAGAATATTAAACTAACAGTTTTGCTTAACAATATTTTTTAGGAACCGACATCGGGACTAGATAGTTCATCATGCTTCCAGTTGATTTCACTTCTAAAATCTCTGGCACGTGGTGGACGAACGATTGTTTGCACAATTCATCAACCATCAGCACGACTCTTTGAAATGTTTGACAATCTTTACATGTTAGCTGAAGGACAATGTGTTTATCAAGGTATCGTGCCTGGTTTAGTACCCTTTTTAGCATCCAATGGATATATTTGTCCAAGCTATCATAATCCTGCTGACTATGTGATGGAAGTTGCTTGTGGCGAGCATGGCGAGGCTGTTTACAAATTAGTAACAGCAATGAACAATCGAAAATCTTTTAATAATTTTGGACAAGACATGCTTCTATCCGTTGATAAACCATTGAATTTATCGACTATCGCTATACCATCTTCATCCTCAACTGCAACAACAACGACAATAAGTAATGAAACATCATCAAATGGAAATGGCCCATTAGCGGCTCATATCGTAGCTCATGATAGCGTTGTTGTAGATGTAGATTTAGTAAAAACATGTGGACGTGCTGAGTATACAATAATTAATATGAATCCAAACAAAATAGAGAATGGAAACAGTTCTCAACAGCCTATTGGACCAACAACATCACTCTTAGACTCATCAACAGAAAGCGTCATCGTTACGCAAAGGAAAGATTCACACAAAAATCATATAAACGGATTTCCTACATCTTCATGGACTCAGTTCTGGATTTTATTAAAACGCACATTTCTCACAATTATTCGTGATCAAACGCTTACCCAAATGCGTCTTGTTTCACACATTGTTGTCGGTGCAATTATTGGAATGATTTATTATGGAATTGGCAATGATGCGAGCAAAATTATGAGTAATACAGGATGTCTCTTTTTTACGACACTTTTCACAATGTTTACAGCAATGATGCCAACAATATTGACATGTAAGTTATGCTTATACAATGTAACATAACAATTTAACAACACTCTTTATGTTTATTTATTTTAGTTCCTACCGAAATGTCAGTATTCATACGAGAACATTTAAATTATTGGTACTCATTAAAGTCCTACTATTTTGCCAAAACAATAGCAGATTTACCATTTCAGGTACTTAACAAATACTTTCAATAATATTTTAAAATTCTTAAGGCTCATAATATGAGCATAAAATATTTCTTATCACATGTGTTTTGCTATGCATGTAAAAGATTAAATGTTCAGTGATTTTACGATTTTAGGTCTTGTTCACAAGCGTTTATGTAATCGTTGTGTATGTGTTAACAAGTCAACCGTTGGAAGCAGATCGTATCGGGATGTTTGTGCTGATTTGTATTCTCACATCACTTGTAGCACAAAGCCTTGGACTATTGATTGGAGCTGGTATGAGTGTAGAGGCTGGAGTTTTCCTTGTAAGTTGAATGAAATTACTATATGTAGCATAGTTTTTATGAGATGATTTCATTTTTTAAGGGTCCAGTAACAACAATCCCAACGATTTTATTCTCCGGATTCTTTGTCAATTTTAATGTTATTCCGAACTATCTTAAATGGGTCACATATGTTAGTTATGTAAGATTTGGATTTGAAGGCAAGTTTTTTATCAATGACATATTCTGGAAAAATTTAAATGATCTTTAATTACTTCACAGGTGCTATGATATCCGTATATGGACTTGGAAGAGAAAAATTAGAATGTAATGAAATTTATTGTCATTATCGTAATCCTGAAAAGTTTTTAGCCGAAATGTCAATGGCTGATGCTAATTTCTGGGTTGATGCTGCCGCATTAACTGGTATTTTTATTGGACTAAGAGTGATTGCATACTTTGTTCTTAGATGGAAGCTTCATTCTATTCGTTAAGTGGATATTATATTCCATTAGAGCAATTTTCTTGCAATAGATTTTAAAAATGATTCTGTCTTTAAATCAAGCAATCATAATTGTAGAGAAATAATCAGAATCTTAAGTCCCCAAGATAGATTGTATGAATGGACATTATTTGTAGTTAGATTTTGTATTAAATTTGATATTTATAAAAAAAATGAAAACAAGCAAACTACTTTATATAATTTTGTAATTCAAATGATCATGTTTCATTACTTTTAATAGACAAAATGAATTTTACTATGAAACTTCTAACAACCATAAAGTATTGAATTAAAAGAAACAGATATTATTTAAAAAAAAAACTACATAAGTATAGAACAAATGATTAAAAATTTGATGCCAGATATACAATGAGCATATAAAGACAGATATTCAACTTTTAGTTGAATTTTCCCACCTACATAACTTAGGCACTAAAAAAATAAATAAAATTATTTGTAGGTATTCAAAAAATCATCATTAGTCAATAGTCTATGATCTGATTTATATACTTGAAACATAAATGCAATGAAAACTTAGCAAGATTTTAATTTCAAAACATTTACTTTTTCGTTTCATTTACAAAGAAAATAATTTATGACAGATCTCATTTTGCTTTTAAACTGAGAAGTTTAAGGAACTTATACCCAAACTCAAAAAAAGCTACAATTAAACAGCAATTTTTAAAAGTATAACTTTCTTTTTGAAATTTTTATAATTTTTAAAAAGTGGGACCTTTTTATAAGGAACAAAAAAATAAATCCTTTTTAAAAAAAATAAATCCCAGTGGAATTGGATAATAATTATGTGATTTATGCTGTAGATCAATATATTGAGTTTGCAGACATTAAATTAGAATATCTTAATGTTTTTAACATTGTTGAATCGAAAATATAAATCAATGTTTCAAGCAAAGACACGAACCAATCAAACAACAAAATATAAAAAGTATAAGCTTTAAAAAACTTTTTTGACGTTTTTACTAACGCTTAAAAAAATTTAATTAAATAAAATTCGAAGACCACGTCATAATTGTAATATTTGGGTTAAAACAATTGAATATTAAATTTCATAAATTAAAATAATTGTTTTTGAATATATTCAGGACCATATATCTTCTTTGCAGAGTTGAAACAGATGTTATTTTTTATTTTTAAAGAAGTTTAAATAAAAATAGCTGTATAATATGAAATTGTTAAATTTGATTGTGATATCAGAAAATTAGTGATAGTAAATTATGTATTATAGCAGCATTATTATTTATATAATTATTATTATCAATTTTATCGGTGAGAGTAAAAACCTTTGCAAAATATTTTTTTATATTCGATTAAAATAAAATGAGAGTTGGCAATTAATGATTTAAAAATTAATAAAATATTAAAGCCAAAAATCGAAAAAGAATTTGAAAAGAATAGCACATTCTCATTCATATATTCTGCTATCTTTTTATTTAATTTGATTTTTACATTCTCAATTTTAAAGTGTTATAACAATTATAAGTTTACGAAACATTTCTTATGTTAAACTTGTGTGAAATTGATTAAACGCTAAATTGGATAAAAATTTAAAGTTCGTATAGACAACAACAACTACGCATTTAATTTTATATTATTCTAAACAATGTATCAAATGATTTTATAATTTTTTAATGATTGATAATTAAATTAAAAAGGTGAAGATTGCATGTGAACTGATATGAAAATAATTAAAACAATTCAAAATAAAATGGAAAAAGAACACATTAAGATTTTTTTTTAATTTTAATATTTGAAGCAAATGTGATAAAATTTGTAAAAGAACTGAAATAGATTTAGAAAAAAAAACCTAAAGGAACTTCTCTTTCAGATAATAATTTTAAGTTCAAGTCTTTAAAGGCTCATCACTATCAAAATTATTTCTCGACAATTATGCTTATAAATTGTTGAATTATCGAAAATCTACCTAAACTAGTGTATCGGGTAGAAACCCAATGCGGATTATATTCACACCATATCATCAAAAGTCTTATTGATAGACCAAGATTTGCCCAGCATAAGTATGAAAAAAGTAGGAGATATAAAGCTAGCGAGTCAGCTGAGCTACGCTCAGCATATGTTTGAAGGTCTAAAGCTTAACGAACATTCTTTAAAAGTTTTTTAAAAAAATTTTCATCCAAAGTTGAATTTTATAAAAATCACAGTCAACTTTTGTTTTAAAAAATTCGTAAGAAAGGAAAGTTTTTTGCTTTTCTGAAGCAACGGCTGTTCCTACCTTGCCCAAAAACAATACAGCTCTTCTATAAAGCAGCACGGATCAAATGTAAAAAACTAGAAGTCTCTACGATGTCTCGTTATTGAGATTTCTTGCTGATTAACTTGCTTGCTTGCTTGCTTGCTTGCTTGCTTGTTTGCTTACAGAAAGCGTATTTTGCGATTTTCTCAGCAATGCCACAACCAATTTGAAATCTGTTTTTTGAAAATGATGTAAAATTTCAGGCACAAACTTTTCTTCTTGGACCTTTTATAACCAATTTTGATTTGTTTTCACACAAAATGCGAAAAACTGATTTTTCAATCTGAACAAAACCAATAGATTCACATGTGAAAACGGTGTGAATATAAAAAAATACAAACAAACAGCCGGTTTTTTGCATAACGATGTCCATATCATTGTAATATTAATTTTTCATTCAAATTCGCACAATAAATTTGAGACTCAAATCGTCTTAAATTATGCATACAACACTCATCTCATGTTTAACTGTGAATGAAATAGGAATGCAAAGGCCAGACAAAAGATAACTTTTTGTGAATACTAAATTGCTCTTGACAAATTTGACGGTCAAAAATTGAGATAAGTTTCAATGTTCTTTCATGCACGTGAATCACATGCATTTAATATTGATTTCAATACGACCTATTTCAATAATTGCTCTGTTTGCACATCCTTATGTGAATAGATGCATCTTTATTGCATTTGAAACTTTCCGTCAACTTATATTTCAGCTTGTAAACTGATTTCAAATGATCTAAATTGGTAACACAAAATGATTGAGTAGTTTGTAGGTTGCGATATTTTTTGACCTGTCTCAGATTCTCTGTCTATCATCACTTTAAAACAACTTAGAAAAATGTTTTCACTTTTTAAACTGCATTTTGTCTGTTATGTCTATAGTAAAATGCAACTGAATATAATGGTTATATGTCTATGTGGGTCAGCGTCAATGAAAAAAATACTTCCATTTATTACATGAATGCTGATAGATAAATGTAATGTCGATGTCATTTACATTTCTGTGTAATGAAACTGCAACCTGCTTGAAAATACATTTAAAATTTTTATCAACGCTAAGTACGAGGTTTTCTCCCACTTGATTTTTGCAACGACTTATTGAATTATTATCATTTGATTACAAATAATGTTTTTAACCTAGGCAGTGTGACAAAGTTTAATTTATGATGGAACAGAAAATATATTTTTTAAAAAATATTGCTGAAGCTCTCGACCTTGTCCTGCTAATTCATAAATAGTTTTATAGTAAATTATTTATTGAAGAAAATTTATGTTAACAACATAATCTGACTTCTGTTTCTTTTCTCAGTTCCAAAAAATAAACGAGATGTCTACAATTAGTTTTCTCAGCACACTCATGAGTTTAAATTTAAAGTATTCAAACATGGCTCTCAATTGAATATTCGCGAGAACTTCTGAGAGTAAAGAAACATTTTTTCTTCACGTTTCTCGCGAAAATTTCCTCAATAATTTTTTTACAACTTCTACTGAGAAGCTCATTTATTTTTTCATCTCTCGCATTAGTTTGTCGTCTGTTAAGTTGAGAACACGTTGATTGCCATTTCGGCAATTTGTGTTTTTTTTTTTCATCTTTGTATACATACAGAGAATAAGCTTAAATTGAGTAAATACAGAAAACGAATCGATAGTGAAGAAACGAGGTTGAATTCTATTTGAAAGAAACAAAGTGCACACACGAGTCAAGTGTTGGAACCTTTTTTATTTTAAGATTAAAATATTATAAACAAGAATCAGGAAAATAAAAAATAATAATAATAAAAATAAAAAGTAAAGAGCCGAAAAAAAAACTAAAAGCATTCACAAATCTTAAAAATTCAAGTTTAATAAAGAAGAACAAAAAGTGCGAAAATGGATAGCAACGGAATGGATAAAGAAAATTTATTTGTTATGAAAAATAATAGGTAAATAAAATGATTTAAAATGAGTTCAAATTTTAAACAGTTTTACAACGAAGTTAACTACTTTTGGAAATCACTTCTTAAAAAGCTCAAAATTTTTCAAATGTCTCCTCTAAATTTCCTTGAGTTTTGTTTACATAATTAGCAGTTCCTGAAGAAAATACTTTTTTATACTATTATAAATATTTCCTGGAACTACGATTTTTAAAAAAGCTAACAACTGAAAGAAGAATTTGTTAATATATTGACAAAACACAAATATAAAGTTGTTGTTGACTTGAATCAAAAATGTGACAGCAATAATTCCAATGTTAAGAAGAGCGGCATGCAAACAAGAAAACAGGTTTTGTTCTTGTCAATATATAAAACTAAGGTAAAATAGTTGTATCAAGGCGCCTTCCGAATAGGCTTATTAAAGTTAATTTTTATTTGATTATCTTAAGGTAACATATTGCATAAATCTATAAGAAATGATGTTAGGATTCCAATTTACTGAAATCATATTACCTTGTAGACTTGACTTTATAAGCTTTGATGTATTGGATTCATTAGATGTTATTTACCTTGAACTTGATTTAAATGTTTTAGTTTAAGTAAAATTTGCAATGATTAATATTACAAACTTTCTCTTAATTTATTTGATTTTTTAATCTTTCTGCCATTGTAATGCCTGAGAAATCTTAATTTGAATGGTTTATAGACATTGGTCATGATTTTTCAATAAAAAATTAAGGAAGTGATTCACTTCGGTTAACTTAATAGAAATACGTTTTTGTATGCCATTGCCAGACGAACAACATGCTAAGCATATATTGGATTATTAATTGCATAATAAGTGTGTTATTAAAATACTAAGATAGATTTTTTAAAGTAAAAAGATTTGCGAGAGAACTCAAAGCGAAAAACATTAAAATGTTTTGAAATGCTAGGCAATTTTTTTTTCAATGATTTTTATTTGTACCACAATTTTTATGACTTTTTGATAATTTCAAATTTAAATCAAAAAAATTTAAACTTTATAAAGATGAAAAAATTAATCTCAAAAAGCTAATGCGCATCATTAATCATTGACAACAGGAAAAGCCAATGATTAATAATTAATAAATCAAATGAAAAAGATTTCATTTATTCTCTTACATCATGTGTACTTTATATGGTTTTTAAAATAAACATTTTTTTTATATTTGATAATTTTTAGAACCAACAATAGTTTAAAACAAATTCTTAGCTTGACATTGACAAGATAAATTAAAAATAAAAATACTCAGTATTCTTGATTGCTTATGCAAAGTTTCAAGAAAGATTCCATAAAATAAAAAACGACTTGGGTATTTCTAAGAACAAAAAAACTTTTAAGATTTCTATTAAAACCTGACAAAAAGAATATACTAAAATTTTATGTGTTTGCCATATAGTTAACAAAATATTATTTTATTCTTGTAAGCTTAAAATAAATTAATGAAAAAAAATTTGAATACAAAACATGAAATTATAAAAATATACGAATAACATACAAGCAAAATGATGAGATAATAAAATTCTTGATTAAAGGATATAGATCATTATATGAATGAACAATCATGTCACAAATATATCTTGAAAACCTCGACCTCATCGCTCTCACTGGTATATTATTTCTCTCTAAAACATTTTTTATATGTATTGCGATCATTAGTAGCTTGTGAATCAATACAAACAACGACCGTCATGATCACGCATTTAAGTTTCACAAAACATTTTGGTAAAGAATTACCAAATTATATTTCATTCATAATTGAACTTTGAAACTAAAGTTTCTAATTGAATAAAATGAAGCAAAAAAGATATTATGGAAGATCTGCAGTTTTGGACACGATTTTATTATCTTTTAAAAATAGAAAAGAGTTATTTTTTGTTTTTGTAGAATATTTGCGAAAGAAATCAACACCAAATTATACACATAGAGTTCATTTCAATGTCATTTAGGTAGTTCTTTTAACACTATTACCAGTAGCTTTTCTTACACACTAAGAACAAAAATACATACGTTAAAAGTATGTTATGGAATTAGTTGCTTCTGCTCATTTTTTTTGCTATTCGCATGATGTCATATTAGGGTCATCAAAATTAAGCTCAAATAAATTATTCAGTACATTTTTATTGCTGATTAGTCCGCAAAATTCAATGTCAAATTTATTTTATTATATGTGTTTATACATTATTGCGTTAGACTTGTTTAAAAGTTGCATGCAGAAGAAATTGAACAAAGTGAGATCATTGAACTTTTATGCCGCAAAATTTTTATTTTCATCTTGTTTGTATCGTTTTCTTATTTATGATTATAATTTAATATACAACTGCAAAAACTGCCTAGCCACAAAAAATAAATAAATTCACATTTCTGCTTAATTTGCTAAACGAGAAAAACTTTAATTAATTCACATGGGTAAATAAAAATAAAGAACATTGCAAGGTTAAATTTGTGTTAAAACAGTTTTGAGTGTTGAGTCGTAAGAAAATAGGATAAAGTCTACTTTTAAATGTTTTGATAACAATTTCGAGAGTTTCGCTTACTATTTCTAGATTTTTATATTTGACAATATTATTTATTTGCAATTTGCATACAAAAATATAAACAGGATATTGAAAACTTGTTCAGACAGAGATTATTAATTCATAAAGAATGTTTACTGAATGTGTCGATTTTCATATTAGCCAGAAATAGATACTAAAACATATCATTGATACTTCTATTTGCATTTTATTATAATCTCATGAGTAAGTAATGAGAATTATCGATAGGTACATAGTATTGAAAAACATTATAAATTAAACTTTGTTTGTTTCCTAGCTTGCTTATTTATCAAAATATTTTTCATTCAAATATGACGACTTTTAGAAGTAATGAAAGTTGTATTACGTTAAATCTGAATTTTAATTTCAAATTACATATAAATCTACAAGATTTGTGTAAATCTTAAAATAACTTTGGATAAAAGAAATATTATTTTACCTTTTATCGCATAACAAAAAAAAAACATTTTGCAACTTGTTTATAACATTAAACTTGCTGTTTACTTGCGTTCGAGAAAAATCTGAGTTGTCTATATACTAGACACGCTAATGTAAGTCTGTTAGTGTTTATATATTTTCAGTTCAATGTGCAAGCTTTAGTCAATGTAATGAATGATCAGTAATATATATTTACTGAAAGGTCATCAGAAAACTTTACTTTTATGATTACCTTTTTGAATACAACTTCTTTATTTAAAATTCAACGCGATAGCATTGAATTCAGTAGCAAATCAGAAACGTTACTTTAATATTAAGAAGGTTCACACGCATTTTCTCTTGTCATGTCCTATAAATAAATTATATGATTTCCTATTCAATTAGTTCTGGCACAAATAATTTTGCAACTTGACATGGAAACACAGATGAATACTTTTTTAGCAAACCATTACGAAATAATAAAGCTCTCTTTTTGTAAAATTCAGTTTCGCAATAGAATTGAGTTTGCTTCCGAATTTTAATTTTAGAATTTTATTTTATTCGTATGAAAAACCAAGTTGAATTGATCAATTCCAAAATTTATGGAAATTTAAATTTATTATCATTAAATTCAAAATATAATATTTTTATGTTCGTTTTATCTAGACTTTACTGCATATATCTAATGTTCAACAACGTTCTATCAATGTTTTAAATACAAAACGCATACAAATGAAAAATACTTGTGATTATTTTTAACTCGTCTTCATATGAAACAGCTGTGAATGTTGTGCACCGGTGTGTATTAAAAACAGCAATCGCAATCTAAATTTGTAAATGGATTCTTTAGTCAATCAAATATTTCTGTTCAATGTGTTGGTGAAAAAATTTTCTTTACAATTTTCTTAGTTTAAGATTGCATTTTAAGCATTTACAACGCACTTGGATATTAAAAAATAAAATATTTTGATCAAAATAAATTGATATACTTTGGTTTGAACATTTTGTGTTTTTAATGAAGAATGCATTAAAAGTTAAAATAATCAAATAATAATTACAAATGAATAATCGAGAAAATTAAAATTGCGTGTGATTTGAAGAGTTTATTTTTTTTTTGAAAAAAAATGAAAAATTTAAGCAAAGTGGAAATTATTCTGGACATCATCTCAAACAATTAATAAATTGATTTTGAAAAATAAAAGCCATATTAATTTCAATTGAAAGTGCAATAATTTTTTTATATATTAAATAACAAAGAACCTAATGTATGCAGCAATCACTCAACACATTGAAGGAAAGTTCTAAACATTCATTCAAAAAACATTAGTCGATCAATTTACACAATAATTTGAGTGTCTTTTGTGAATGTTTTTTTCATTTTTTTATTTTTTAAACCAACGTTTTGATAAATTTATCAATCATATAAGTTTATCTCTTTTTGATAAATAAATCAATGTGTTTGTCTAAAACGCATATGTGCATGCAAAATAAAATAAAAAGAATATGAACTCACACAACAGAAAATTAATACTTTTAAAAAACAATGAGAAAATTCTCACAGCTGTGTGAAGTTTAGAATAGAGCAAGGAATACTCATTCAGTTGAATTTAAGCTGTTGCTTCGTTGAGATCTCAACAGGAAAAGGCAATAGGAAATAAAAATAGAAAAGAAAAAAAGAATGCCTTTGTGAAAGCTACTCAGAATCATTAGACTTTAATTTTTATAACAATTGAAACAAAAACCATTGTTTCCAATCAAGAAATAAAGTTTGCATTAACAGTTACTTTAAGTGTAGCTTTCTACGATAAGAATAATAATTTTAAAAAATATAAGCATGAGTAATTAAAAATAATTGAACACAGTGGAACTGCTAAAAGTCGTGACAAAGGAAGTGACAAATAAAAATATATTCGTTTGATTTAAATACAATTTTGAGCTTTGAGAAAATAAAATTTATGAAAAGTAAGAACAATGGAAGATTCAATTAAATTAAATGACTTGTCTGATGATAGGAAAAATCTTGTTGGATCAAGTGGATCATCAACAAAAATCCAAATTGTACCAGCACAGCCGAAAACACTTACACATTTGCCAAAACGACCCCCAGTGGAATTGGCATTCAAAGACTTGACATATCGGGTTAAGGAAGGACGTTCTAACAGTAAGTTTTAAATATTTATTATTATAATTAATGTTTATCAATTTTTGTATTTTAATTATATATAATTATTACAAGTTCAAGTACATACAACAAAGTATATATCTAATCTGTTTAGATCCACTGATGGAATTTTAAGCTTGATAAAAAGAATAAAGCCACTGATTGATTTTATTGATAAAAAACCGAAATTGTAAATGTGCTGAACTTCATTATAAAATATGAGCATATGTTTTCGCATTCGTAACATTGATGAAAAATCTTTTTAAAAAGATATCTTTTATACTAAGCTTTAATTATTTAATATTTTCTCTAGGCTTTAAGTATTGAAGTATAAATTTAAATTCAATTTCAACTCGAGAGCACTATACAATGCAAACAGCTTTAGTGGATGCTATTGACTGGAATGTTCTGAATGAATCATATTTCTTTACAATATTAATTGAAACCTTATTATTTTTTAAAAGATTATTAACTTGATTCCAGACTTTTTAATTTAATTTTATTAGTATTTTATACATTTTAACGGAGCTGCTGAAAGACAATTTAAAAAATAAACATCCAAAAGTTCTCAATAAAACTTTGTGACATTTTCATGAGTCCAAAATATTATAATGCTAAATTATCTGAAAATCCTTGAATGGCAACATTTCATCTTCATGTTATTCTTTTCCAGCCAGCTGTTAAATTTCTTAAAAGGTCATTCAAACCTCAAGCATCTTTTAATATTTAATATAGAATCTAACAACTCTTTTCACCTGAACTTGTTTTTCATTTAAAAAAACCCAGCAATGAGATAAAAACCTTGTATAAAATCCCAAACTAGATTTCTTAACTTAAAAAAATCCAAATATTTAAAAATTTAAGAAAACGTGCCTAGATTGAAATAGTAAATTCACGCAATTTTTCACAACCTGACCTTTATAACTACATGAAAATTATATTTTCAACTCTACGTAATTTAAATTTCAAATTGTCATGCACAATACATACGTCGATGAATCATTATGACGCTAATTGAAAATAGAACAATTATCTTAAATTTAAAATTCACTTCGATAATCATTTTTAGCAGGTTTATATTCAAATTAGAATACGATTTTTTTGCTGTTCTAATAGATTAATATCTGTATTGTTGAAAAGGCAAAGTTCAGAACAAGTTCAGATTTTTTTTTTAATTTTAAGATATTGCTATAAGATCATTTTAATCATTATTTGATTAAATCAACAAATTAATTTAATTATGATTCTTAATGAATGCTTATAATTTTATTATATATGCCCTTATTTCACGTGGGAATTTTCAATAATTTTCTTTTAATAGGTCATTCTAGTTTTAATAATAAATTTGATTCTACATAAAAAACTTATTAAATAATTACATAATGCAATATCATACCAACAACGGATAATGGATCTAAACAATACTCGCTGTTTGACAGAACTTTAAAAAATACAATGTAACTTGCATTTAATTAAAATATGTTTATTCCAAACAAAATCAATTGAATTTGGTATCTGAAAATTATTTTATAATATCATAATTTTATATTCTATAGATGTTAAAACTATTCTCAAAGAAGTTAGTGGTCGTCTCCGGCCAGGAGAACTATGCGGTATTATGGGTCCAAGTGGAGCAGGAAAATCAACGTTGCTTAATATTCTTTCCGGATATAAGTGAGTATACTGTGTTGCCAAATTTATTAAATACAGACCTTCCTTAAAAGACTTAGTCAATTAATTCATTCAGTTGTTAAATTATACGACAAAAGGTCATTCGCATAATAATTTCTATAGTACGTGAAAAAAACTAAAGCTTTAGTACTTACGTATCACCGCTTATGAATTCCATGATGATATTTTATCTTTTGTCAACCTTTGAACATTTAACAAAAATTGAGTAACACGAGAGTGAATTATTATTTATCAATATGAACCGAACGTATTTCTTTTGTATCCAAGCTTTAGAAGCTCAGACTAGTGATTTACAAGAATTAACAAGATAAGATATCAATTTTGATTTTATTTGAAGGTTTTGATAGGAGGAAATCTAATGTAACTTTTTCGTGTATTGAATTTTTTAATGCATCAAAATGAGACATTCAATAGCCTTATAAATAAGTCAACAAGTTGACATTCGAATTAAACTAAACAAAAAGTCCATAACAAAGCATTTCAAAGTGTTTGAAGTGATAAGAAATGAACGATTTTCTTATCAGGCATTGACAGTTGTTTCCACTTAAAAAAAATTCTGAATCATGACTATAATTGAACTTTGAAATATTGCTAATCATGGAAAAAATTCTGTAATATGACGTCAATTTTTGCTCCATTTTTCAATTTAGAACAACAAAAATCGAAGGATCGATAACGATGAATGGAAAGGAGAGAAATATCAGTGTTTTCCGCAAACTGTCTGCATATATCATGCAAGACAACCAGCTACATGCAAATTTAACTGTTGAGGAGGCAATGAATGTTGCAGCCAACTTGAAATTAAGTCAGAAAGTTCAGCGCAGCGAGAAAATGAATGTGGTTTGTATTTGATCATAATGATATTAAATAATTAATTTTCTGTGCAAATTATGATATTTTTATCCTTGTTTTTAAAACTGTAAAAAACAATAGCAGATATATTAAAAACAAGGGAAGTTGATGACATTAAGTGCAGTAGTTTACTATGTAAAAGCTTTTATATATTTAATTAAATATATTTTGATGGAAAAATCACATGATAATACATAAGTCACAGTTTTGCAAAAGTATAAATTTGCTAAAATATACTCTTATTTGTAGATTAAATCTATCTTGGATACTCTTGGTCTAGAAGAACATCGTAGAACATTGACAAGAAATTTGTCTGGTGGTCAAAAAAAGCGTATGTCAATTGCTTTGGAACTTGTCAACAATCCACCTGTAAGTGATTATAAAACAAAAGTTATGCTGATAATTAAGTTATTTTTTTTTCTCAAAAAGATTATGTTCTTTGATGAACCAACTTCCGGATTAGACAGCTCAACATGTTTCCAATGTATTAATCTTTTAAAATTCCTTGCTCGCGGTGGTCGAACTATCATATGCACTATTCATCAACCATCTGCGCGTCTTTTTGAAATGTTTGATCAACTTTACACTTTATCAGAAGGACAGTGCGTGTATCAAGGAAGCACAAAACAATTAGTTCCTTTCCTAGCTACTCTTGGACTTGAGTGTCAAGCTTACCATAATCCAGCCAGTTACATTATTGAAGTAGCTTGTGGTGAGCATGGGGATCATACAAGAAAGCTAGTAAATGCAATTGAAAATGGAAAGAAAGACATTCGAACTGAAGATGATTATGAAAAGGTGAAAGCGATTAATGGAAAAAATGATATTCCTAAAGTTCATACAACAGAAGCAAATCTAAAATCAACTTATGAGAAAAATGATAAGTTTTCAGATAATATAAATGGTACAAGTAAAGCATTGATTCCAGCAAAAATTGTCAATGATATTATGAAAGGTGGTAATGATGAAAATGCAGTATCCATTAATGTTGATGACAAAGAACCTGACACAACTACTGCTTTGCTTAGCGAAGAATCCGGAGATTTATCACCTGAACGATACCCAACATCAGAATTCCATCAATTCTGGGTTGTTCTAAAGCGAACATTATTGTTTAGCAGACGTGATTGGGTACGTTTTTGAGCATAAATTGATAAGGTTTACAGGTTTAAATAATTACATTTTTATCTCCGCAGACACTTATGTATCTACGATTATTTGCTCATGTTCTCGTTGGATTTTTAATTGGTGCACTCTATTATGACATTGGCAATGATGGAGCAAAGGTCCTCAGTAACTTAGGGTTCCTCTTTTTCAACATGCTTTTCCTTATGTACACATCAATGACAATCACAATTTTATCATGTAAGATTTTTGATAGATTTCTTATTCATTTAAAAAAAAACTATTTGATTTTATTTTATCATGTAGTCCCATTAGAAATGCCTGTGTTATTAAAGGAGAATTTCAATCGATGGTACTCACTTAGAAGCTATTATTTGGCAATAACTATATCGGACATTCCATTCCAAGTATGTACAATACTGAAATTTTTAAAATCAAATTAATTATCATAATTACTTTAATTTCAGGCAATATTTTGCTTCATTTACGTATCAATCGTCTACTATTTTACATCGCAACCTATGGAACTATTCAGATATGGATTGTTCTTAACTGCATGCTTGCTTATATCATTTGTTGCTCAAAGTGTCGGCTTAGTTGTTGGTGCTGCAATGAATGTACAAAATGGAGTTTTTCTGGCTCCAGTAATGTCTGTTCCATTCCTCTTGTTCTCCGGATTCTTTGTATCATTTGATGCTATTCCAATTTACTTACGTTGGATTACGTATTTGTCATACATCAGATATGGTTTTGAAGCTACAGCTCTTGCAACTTATGGATACGGACGTGAAAAACTCAAGTGTTTCCAAATTTATTGCCACTTTAAAGATCCACACACAACACTTGATGAACTTGATATGGTACACTCTGATGTTGTTCTTGACGTTGTAGCTTTAATTTTCATCTTTTTCGTATTGAGAATTGCAGCATATCTTTTCCTCAGATGGAAATTGAAAACTCAAAGATAAAAAGAACTATAAATCCTGTTTTCTATGCATGGTATATTAGCTTTAAATGACCTTTTATTGAATATTTTTTTCCTGTGAGAAATAATTACGTATATATGACATACATAGAAATGAATTCTAGCCTTATGGTTCGTGGCCTTTTTGAAAACTTTAATTTTTAAACGATATTTAAATGATATATGATGTGGGTTAGTTCTCATAAAGTTATAATTACCATAACCATCTGATAAAGTAGCATTGAAAGTGAGTTAATATCTGTACGAACAATAGAATATTCAATAGTGATAAATATTAAGCACGTACTTATATTCAAGTTGTGGTTAAATACAATTTTATCCGATTTGGGTTCATTTTCATCTAAAATTTCAAAATATTAATGACAATAATTAAGAACATTTACAATCAAAAGCTTATATATATAAATTTAATATGAACATTAGCAAATGTGCCTTGAATTTAATTATTACAAAACAGAAATAGGGGGTTTTTAATAGTTTTTTTATTCGAAATAAAAATGAAAGAAAATTAAAATTAAAAAAAAAACATTTTCTTACAAAGCATATTGGGCTGTGATCTAAAAACATTATTCAAAAGAATTAATCGAAATTTGTCAAATTTTCTTGCCAATAATACCCGAAATGTTTTCTTAGACACAACACCATCCTTTATTAATAAAACTTGTAATATTAAATTTTTTGTGGTAAAAGTTCTTTTCTTATTTTACATTTTTTAAAGCTACATGTAAAGGATTTATATTTGCAATTTTTTTTTGAATAAATAAAAATGCATGAAAATTATTTACAAAGTGGACTTATTACTACATGAATTTTGTTTTTTACAATATTTACAGCATTTATTAATTCCTGAGTTAATTTATCTTGTTTGTTTTGCTTATAATAAATTTTTAAAACTTTTAGTTTTTGATCTTTGTGAAGAAGGAAATCTTCGAGCCAATCAACATAATAACAATTTTCTATTACTAATGCTTCTAGTTTATTATTATCAAAATTAAATTTCCTAACATTTTGAAAACTACAATCAACAAATTTCAATGATTTTATATTACGATTATTAAATATTGGAATGTCGCAAAACCCGATTGCTTCAAAATTTTGAAGCTTTTGTAATTTATCAATATTTTTAAAGTCAATTGAACGTGAATTAGTTATTAATGAGATTAAATTAGGAAAAATAGACCAATAATGATCAACTTTTGAATCTAGAATTAAATGTTCGATGTTCATCATTTGTGGTAAATTAATTTGAATGTTTTCAGAACCACCGAAAATTCTTAGAGTTTTTAAGTATATAAAATCTTTGAGATAACTTATTACAGTATAATTTTCTTCATATACTTCAAAATATTCAAGAGTATCTGCATGTATGGTTAAAAATTTCTGCAAAGTAACAAAAGCAGATTCTTCAATTTTTTCTTCATCTATAATTAATTTTTTTAACTTGAATTTTACATTCAAAATTTCTTCATTGTTAAAAATATCTGATGGTTGTTCGTAGTAAGACAGTTCCAATGTCTCCAATTCCTTTTGCTCTACCAAAAAGTTCTTTAAAATTCTCCTATCACCAAAGTCGTCAGAAATTTTAAAAAATGACAACTGTGAATTCATGAATAGTTTTAGTAAACTCACATCACTTTGACAAAATGTCAAATATTTTAAAAATTTAAAATTTATTCCTTGACATTCTTTATTAAATTTTGGGCCACATTCTTCATAAAGATTCAAAGAAAATATGCTTAACTTTGTTAAATGTTCAAATTGGTCAATGAACAAAATAAAATTATCTAAATCTGTTTCATACAAATTTCTTATTGCTACCTCATTGACACTATCGTGTATGCTTCTAAAAACATTTCCGTGTTCTATTAAGCGGTCTTCACGGCAATCTTCTATATAAATTTTTTGATATTTTCTGCTGCCAATCCATTTACGAATCTCGTAATCAGAAATAAGAATTTCAAACTTATTCAAAATCAAGCTGCTATTATTAATAATTTTGTTAAATTTCTTACAAACTAAGCTTATGTTTATTAAGTCTTGGATAGATAATTTACAAAATATTTGTTCCAAAATGTTTTTCGGTAATTTGTTCATTTTCATAAATTTTATTTAATTTTTTATAGTAAAAAAATATCTGCATGAAATTTTGTGATGTTTTCAGGCAAGTATTATCCAATTTGATTTGAGTAAAAAGTTCGTATGTTTTTTTGTTTTATTGAAAAAGACATGTTTATACATGTTTCATCTTTGACCATAAACGTGATGTTGTTTGTAAACTTCATCCTAAAGTAACAAAATATTTAATGGATCATAATTAGTTGTTCCAAAAATCTGCAAGATTTGTAGATAATTCAAACTTTTTAACAAAATTCTTTTCTTTAATCTATCGGGTTTTTTAAAATCAACTATAAACACGACTTTAAACTTTTAAATCTCCTTAACACTAGCTGATTCTAGCTGATTCTACTGTTTTGGAAAAATTAACTTTTATTCTCATTGTAACTCCTTTATTTAATGTTGTGACTATATTGAATCTACAAATTTATTAATTAATTATCGAATTTTACTCAGTTTTTACCTTGTAAAAGAAGTTTTACTACTTTTTGTTATTTTTTCACTCGCAAAAAAGGTAAACAATGTGTTATGTCAGGGGGACTTATCTTAAGTGAAATTTTTTTCACTCACATGTTCTTTTTATTTCCAATAAGAATCTAGCAGAAAATGAACTGGATGACAATAAATATTATTGGGTGAAATTATTCAAAATTTAACAAATTCACTTCAAAATGTAATTCTCATTTTCAGCAAGTGACTTTATTTATGAACTTAATAATCTTATTTTCAGAAGCGTTATAATTGCATTAATGATCTGTAATTAACCACAAATTGGAGTAATTATAAAAATCATCAAAATCTCTAGCAGATTATTTCTAGTTCTGCTAATAAAAGATTGATATGTGCAAATATAAGAACACGTGACTTTGAGCTTTGATTAAAATTGAATTTTTAATCTCTTTATTTTCAGCCTTAGATTAGTTTTTCTTAAAACATATGTAAAGTTAATACTTCAAACAGAATTAAATCAAACTTAATAGCTTCATGACTTCCGTTCTATTAAAGCTATATATATGCAAATAATGAAAAGATAAGAAAACTCATTAAGTAAGATTTTCAATTTTTTTCAGATTAATTGCTAGATTTAGATAATTACTTCAATAAAGGTTTGACGTATCAACTGTTAATTGCCCATTATCAAATTCCTAGCATTTAAATAACATTGTATGCTGTTATTCAATTATTTTGAAGGACAAAATTGATTTTAACTTTGCAATGTGATACAGCTTAACGCATGTCAATTGAAGGAGAAAAATAGGAGTTGTTACATAAGCTGTTACTTAACTTGATGATCTTCCATTTTCAACCCTGAATATGAAAAATTGTTTTCCTAATAGAACAACATGACTCATAATTTAATCTTACGCTTCCTACATTCATATTTATGACTTATTCTAGTGTAATTTTTTTAATTGTCAACCCACTACATGATATTTTTTAACAATTCCATCATTTTAATCTAATATCAAATTTTAATCTTTAAAACAAAACATCTGTAACGTATTATTAAGATAGCATGCAAGTTATGTAAATTAGTAAGGAAATAGTTTTTAAAGAATCAACCAGAAAAAAAAAGATAAATAGATTCTATTTGATATTGTGAATTTAGTTTTGGCAAATCCAAGATAAATCTTTAAAAATTAAATTTATTCGATACACTTTAAACTTTTATATTTTAGTCATTCTACTCGTTCCTATTTGATATTTATGTTTAGGAATATTCGTTTGGTATTTTAAAAATGATTTAAGTTTTTTTTCGAATGCATAATGTCAAAAATATAATAATTTAATAAAGTTTTTTTTAAGAAAAGCTATAAATTGGCTTTAAAACAGTTAAACAAGAATCTTTTAAAATGATTAAAATGCCAATTCATCCAAATTCTACAAAATGTTTATTTTAACAAAAAAAAATGTTATAATAGATAAAGTAAACCCAAATAAAAATAAAACTACTTTTTGGATGAATTTGCATCATCTCTGGAAGCTATAAATACAATTCAAATATTATTTTTTAATGATCTAACAAGTGCTTAAAATCAAAAGCTCTAAAATATATTTTTAAAGTACGATATTAAAAAAATCAATAAAATTTTGTTGTAATTTATAATTATTTTGCATTATAATTATATGAAATTCTCGTAAAAGTAAATTTTAAATACGCAAAAGTTGAATATTGATCAGGTCTCGATCCGAGTTACATTTCCCTTAAAATTGAATACATAAAAGCTTTGAACCAATCAATTTTGATTGGCAATGATGACAAGATACCGATCAAAAGTAGTCATGTAGGATATAAAACACTTTGATTAATTTGATTAGAATGTGAAGCATCGAGTAGAATAGATTATAATAACTGCAACAATGAAATTTTTTTTTGAAAATTATGTTACAAGCCGTTACAAGATTGACGACCTCAAAATTTGTTCGAAATTCGCATCTTTGTTATCATTATGAGTTTATTGCCTTAAAGAGTTTGTAAATTAAAATTTTACTCATGCTTCATGTGTCACAGTTTCAAATATTAACTCTCACTTCTCTCTTCATTAAAAAATCTTTAAATCATTTTTGTTGGATATATAAGAACAAATTTTTATCACATTTAAAACACTTTTTGCAAATTGATGCAACTCTAATTTTTTTCTCTTTCCCAACATTTCTTTAAAATTGACATACAAGCTCATCACACTCAACATTCGGCATTTACAAACACATTAAAAACTTTTATTTCACAATCACGAGAATATTAAGAAAATCTATTTTTTTTCTGTTTTGAAAATGAATTTTTTACGTGTTCGTGCTTATGTTATAGTTCGTTGTTGATCAGATTCAGTCGAAATTCGAATGCGAACAGAAGCGCGCACATTCTGTTCTAGCAAGTAATCATTTTTAGTTTATAGAAATAGAAATATGATAAGAAAAATTACTACAATTAGAAAATAAAAATAAAATAGTAAATGTGAAATATTGTTCTGATTCAAATTAAGCAGTTCAAGAAGTTAAATTTAAAAAAATGTGAAATGTTCATAAAGTTTAAGTGTATTTTGTGAAAATAATTGAGAAAAAAGAAAAAAAAGAGCTGAATATTGTCGTATTAAATTAAATATAGGGCAATCACGGAGGTTAAAGTTAGTAACGCAAATTGAATAATTCAACTACCTCATTAGCATTGTCATTAGAATTGATTGTGGAAATTCAATTTAAAAGTTGAGAATCTTTTTAAAATATTAAACAATTTTGGATAATTTATCATTTGAATTGTAAATTTTGGTTTATTTAAATTGTTATTGAAATTCATATTCTACAAGACTTGTAGCGCCTTTAAAAAAACTAAACTTACTATAAATTTAATTAATATTTCATAATGATAAAAACATGTTTCAATTCCTTTGAGAGATTATGTATATGAAAGCATTTAAAATCTTGTTTGCAAATATTTAAGAATATTTTTATTCGCAAGAACATTAAACTTTGATTTTGGCGAAATAGCAAAGCTATAAAAAACGTGTCTTACCAGATTTTAATATTTTTACTCTTTTCGATGCAACACGTTTTGATAGATGTATCAAAAAAAATAATATAATTTAAAATTTTCAGGTTTTTTTGCAAACAAAAACGTATAAATTTCACATTATAATTTATTATATTTATATTTTTAATATGTATTTGTTGTCTGTAAATTAGCAAGAAGGAAGACACATCCTTTAAAAAATATCCAAAAATGAGGAAAAAATTTGCATAAGTTTGCGAAAAAAACCTGAATTTTCTACTAAACCAAAAATGTTACTGAACTCTGATAATTTATCATTTGAATAAGGAATAATAAAGTGGAAAAAAAGATTCGAAATTTATTTTAGATTTTTTAAGTGATGACTCATAAAAGAGTTTAATTTATTTTTGCATTTAATTGTAATTTTTATAGGAATGAAAATAAACTAAAGTAAAAACAGAAGAGAGCAGTAGAGTTTTAGTAGAGCACATTCTTTTGCAAACAATAAATTCATTCATCAAAAACTGTATTCATTTTACAACAAAAAAATAAAAATTTCATTCGTTTCTTTTCGCGTAAATTTTTCATCTGGAAAGTGTTTATGTGATAGTTTGAAATAATTTGTTCATGAATCATAGAAAAGTCAAAACATGAGCTAAATTTAATTTGATCAGAAACATAAAGAAACTTTAAAAAGTATCAAATTTTGTGCGTCGAATCGTGTCTGAAACTAATTATCTTACGAGACAAAAAATATGTTGAGGGACAAAACATTATACTTGTTCAATTTACCGAAAAATTTTGAGACAAATACTTAATTTTTATTATTTGTTTCTTCTTTAAGTTTTCAATAAGCTGTATAGAATTCTTAAGTGAATTCCTCGCCCAGCTCCTTAATTCTTCGTGGTTCGACACGTTCGCAAAGTTAAAATGTAAATTATTAGGATTATTAGGAAGCTTCATTGATCATTCAAATATGCATGATATAAGCAATAATATAAACTTCGTCATCTCAATTCATTTTTATTAGAACCTCGAGAAATTAAACAAATAAAAGTGTAATCAAACAATGAGGAAGGATAGTTTTAAATATCTGCTTATAGACACAGATAAACAAGGAGTCAATACGCATGATTAATCGTGAAAAATCCTTTAAAATTCCCGAGCCATGCATTGGATATTTAAAAAAACCTGTTAAATCTCGAAAATATTTTTCAAATACAGAAGAGATTTAAAACATATTTTTACTTATCATGGCATATGACTCAGAATTTAGGACTTTGGGATTTTTCAGGAACAATCCTGACTTTCGATGCCTTATATAAAATTAATATTCTTAAAAATCAATTTAATAATAACTGACTTGATTACTGCACTATTTTTTAATTTAGGAGCAGATAAATTTATTCAAAGTTGTTTATTTCAAGAGCAATAAAACTCGAAAATAATGATTTTGAAAGTGGCATAAAATTATTTACACTTTTTCATTTTTAGTTGATTTCTTAAATTGAACGTTTACTTATTTTATCGTGTCATGATTTATCCACAACTAAATGGTAGTGATGTTTTTCTATTCTCGCTAACAACTTATTAACCTTGACTGAATGCAAGGTCTGTTGTGTTACAAATGCAGCACGTTTGACTGTCGGATCACATGTTGCAACGGTTTAAGGATAAAACAACTTAAATATTTAAGATTTCCGTAAATTAAATTCTTAACGGTAAAGTTTTATTGATTTTAAATGACTCAATTATTGGAAATTTTTCCTTCAATGCAATCAATTACTTAATTGTGAACATGAAATTGGATGTGAATAAAATCACTGATGTGATAAAATTACTAAAAAGCAATGTGAATTTTTATAATAGCTTCACCCATTTTAGCAAGTACATTTCGAATGCTCAGAAACAAAATTAGTATTAATGAAAATTCAAAGATTTTATTACGTTCGAAACTTGACACGCACTACTATCTAATAAATATGAAAAGCTACCACGTGAAAAAGCAATCATTTTTACCGAGAATTCACATTGTTTGCTCCAATATAATTGTTAATTATCTTTGACTATTATTAAAACTGTATTGAAACTTAATCACTTCCATTTATAACAAGTTTAATTACAAATTTAATTCAGGATCAAAATAAATCGATTTAGCCTTACAAATTGAAATTGATTTTATCTAGTTTTACTGTGATATTTACGAAAAGCTTAACTTACGTTCTATTCAGAATTTTTATATTCACACCGTTTTCACGTGTGAATCTATTGGCTTTGTTCAGATTGAAAAATCAGTTTTTCGCATTTTGTGAGAAAACAAAGCAAAATTGGTTATGAAAGGTCAGAGAAGAAAAGTTTGTGCCTGGAATTTCTCATCATTTTCAAAAAACAGATTTCAAATTGGTTGCGGCATTGCTGAGAAAATCGCAAAATACGCTTTCTGTAAGCAAATAAGCAAGCAAGTTAATCAGCAAGAAATCTCAATAACGACACATCGTAGAGACTTCTAGTTTTTTACATTTGATCTGTGCTGCTTTATAGAAGAGCTGTTTTGTTTTTGGGCGAGGCGAGAACAGTCGTTGCTTCAGAAAAAGCAAAAAACTTTCCTTTCTTACGAATTTTTTAAAACAAAAGTTCACTGTGATTTTTATATAATTAAACTTTGGAAAAAAATTTTTTAAAAAACTTAGAAAGAATGTTCGTTTAGCTTTAAACCTTCAAACATATGCTTAACGAAGCTCAGCTGACTCGATAGCTTTATATCTTCAAACATATGCTGAGCGAAGCTCAGTTGACTTATCAAGCTTCATACCTTCATACTTATGATGGGCAAATCTTGGTCTATCCATAAGACTTTTGATGATACGGTGTGAATATAATCCGAATTGGGTTTCTACCCGATACACTAGTTTTGAAATGAAATTAGTGCAATGATGTTTTGAAGAAATTTTATTACAACGGTTTAGTGTGAAAACTTTCAATATTTTAACTTGGGACGAGTTATTTTTTATCTATCCTTATTTTGTAAATAATCTTGAAATCGTAATGCAACCAATATCATTGTTCGTAGAAAATTATGAGAATTTTTGATACAATGCGAAATTTTTTAGAACATTTAAGTTTAAACTAGATTAATTTTATATTTAACGATTAGGAGGTAAAGTCACACATGATTACATCATATGAGAACTGCTCTTAAATGTAATTAGCTCTTAATAACAAAAAATGTTAATTTACTGAAATTATACGTGTGTAAGCTGTAATGAATATGAAAATATTTATTGTATGATTTGTAGAGTGAAACTAATCTGAGCATAGTGTAAATTTAGCCAAATGAGGAAAACAAAATTGTTAACAATGTAATAATCACAACTTTATAGGAACTCTGTTAATTTATTAACAGCTTAAAACATATTTTTACATAATATTTTATAAGAACATTTATTTATTCTTTGGTCACGATGAGTAGACGTAACAAAAGTGTATTTCCACAAATCATGCATATTCTATAGTTATACAAATTACCTTAAACACTTCATCAACATTTATCATATTTTTCTTTTCAGCTTCTACTCGGGTGATAAAAGCTTAATAATAAAAAAAATCGACAATTACTTACAAGTACCTGCAAAGTGTACTGAAAAATTAATTAAAATGAATACTTAATGATATGCAAAAACGATTAATCTTGTGAATATAATTTACTAGTGCAAATCTATATAGCAAATACAATTAGTAAATAAATTAAACATTGAAATGATTGAATCCAACTCTCCAGCATCATCATCGTTTGATGAAATAATAATTGAAAGTGAATTGAAAAGCCAGGCTTTAAAATATTTACCTCATTGGCCACCTGTTACTATAGATTTTGAGGATCTTGTCTACACAGTGCAAAATTATGAAGAACGTAAGAGAAACTATTTTTTATTCCTTTTTTCCATTATTATGTGATGTATTTTAGAATCTATGCATTTTATTCTATTTGAAATGATAAATTATGGTCAAACTTAATAAAAACATTCGATAAATTTACATCTTAATAAATAAAAAAAGTAATTAATGTAGAGTATTTTTCGCTGTCAAATCTATAATCAATTTTATTCGTTAGCTCTTTAAAAATGCAATTAATAAATATGAATATGCATACACAGTGACATAGAAAGGCTGACCAAACATATTATTTTGTTAAAATTAAATTGTTAAAAATGTAAAATTCCAGAAAAAAATTGAACTTTTCTGTATTTCTTTTTTTAGAAACAAAAACTATTTTACGAGGTATCAGTGGATCTTTTAAATCTGGTCAATTGATCGTGAGTTATGATTTCAAAAAACAAATCATTTAAATATTTCTAATTTTATTCTATTTTGTTGGGAAATTAAAGGCTTTACTTGGACCTTCAGGTATGCTTTTTTATTAATAGTAATCAAAGCGTTGGATGGCCATCTGAACAAGTTTGACAAAATTCAAATTTTTATATTTTTAAAAATTTATGTTATTGCAGGTGCTGGTAAAACAACACTATTGAATATCTTAGCGGGCTTTAAGTAAGTTTTTACTATTTTAAATTTTTTTTGCTTAACATAATAGGCATTATTTAATTTGATGACTGTTATATAGTCTAAGTTGTATTATAGGCGCCTTCTCTCAAGTGACAAATATGTTAAGAATTTCTTATAACATCATGATGATTTAATTAGCATAATGAATTGGTGACCAATATCCAGAATAAGAATCATCAGTTGTTATTAGCTTAGCTAATTCTGAAATCCTAAACAATTAATGTTCTATTTTTATTTATTTAATTTAAAGATGTGAAAATATTTCATCTGGAAATGTCATGATAAACAAGAAGAAAAGGGAGATGAAAAAGTTTCGAAGAATGTCGAGATATATTATGCAACAAGATATTCGTCAAGTTGGATTGACTGTTTGCGATGCAATGATGTATGCAGCCGATTTAAAACTTGGTTTTGATGATCTCACGAAGGAACAAAAAAAGGAAGTTGTGAATGAAATTATACATTTGTTAAGACTAGAAAAGACTATGAATACGGATTGCAGTAGATTGTCTGGTGGTGAACTTAAGCGCTTCTCAATAGCACAGGAATTGGTAAACAATCCACCAATTTTATTTCTCGATGAACCAACGAGTGGACTGGACGAAACAAGCAGTTTTCAGTGTGTAGAATTACTTAAGAAGCTTGCAAGGGGCGGAAGGACAATTGTTTGCTCAATTCATACACCATCAGCGAAAATTTTTGAAAAATTTGATCATATTTATGTTGTTGCTAATGGTCAGTGTGTATATAATGGAAATGGTGGAAATATAGTTCCTTATTTAGATATGGTGGGACTGCGATGTCCGAAAACTTACAATCCTGCAGATTTCAGTAAGTTGATGGTTTATGATTTCGCTAATATATTTTATAACAAATGATTTTAATTGATAGTTGTGGAAGTAGCATCAGGGGAATATGGTAATGAATTTCTTGGTCGCATGATAGAGTTCATTGATAATGGTCGAGTGATAGATTGGAAGCCATCTAATGCTATCCAAGACAAATATGAAGAGCGTTATGATCACAATCGGAATCAGTGTAATGAACCAACACATCTATTACAGTTTGAAGAAGAAATCAATCCAAATAATTTAAAATTCAAATGTTCAAGTTTTGAACAATTTTTAGTCATTTTTCGCCGAACCAGCAAACAAATTTACAATGATTGGGTTTGTAAAAAATTATATTTTAAAATAAATACTTATCTAATAAGCATCTTGATTTTACAGAATTATTTATCACTTCGAATAATCATGCATATTTTTCTTGGTATTGTGATTGGGGGTCTATTTTATCAAATGGGAAATGATGCTACAAAAACATTGTTTAATTTTGGATTTTGTTTTACCATCATCATCGCATTTATGTATATTCCAATGCTACCAGTTTTACTTGAGTGTAAGTACTTGAAACATTCAATTGATAGACGTAATAGTCACACTTCATCTTAATTATCGACTTTAAAATATTTATTCTCTTAAATTTTATATGAAACAAAATCTAGAAAAGCTAAAGAAAAATAATTTTTTCTCTAATCTATTCACAGTTCCGATTCAAGTTCAAGTATTAAAGCGAGAATATTTCAACCGATGGTACAGATTTCTACCTTATTATTTTGCAATAACTATTGCAAAGTTCCCCGTGCAATTTTTGACGTCTGTGCTTTACCTAACTATGGTTTATTTCATTACTGATCAACCAGTTGAATGGAAACGCATGTTAATATTTTATTTTATTGCGTTGCTTACCAGTATGACATCAGAAAGCTTTGGTTTACTTGTGTCATCAAGATTAAGTATCATTGTAAGTGCTGTTAGCTTTAAACTTGCATTTTATACTTATAGCTTTTTTGATTCACAGAATGGCATGTTTATCGGACCTGTAGCATGTGTTCCTTTGATGCTTCTTAGTGTTTATGGTATTGGGACTGGTATAGAATCAATACCGCCACTAATTCGCTATATTATGAAATTTAGCTATTTAAGACATTCATTGGAAGGAATTATTCAGTCAATTTATGGATTTGATAGACAGGATATGGTTTGCCCAAATGACGAAATGTTTTGTCCATATAAGAAACCAGAGTTTCTTCTTCGTATCATGGGTTTTGAACATTTAGACTTAACTACTTCAATTCTTGGGTTATTGTTTTTCTATATTTTCTTTAATTTAGCTGCTGTTTATTTGATTAAATTACGATTATCGTGTACGAGAAAGCGGTTCTGGGCAATTCAGTATGTGTCGCGGGTTGTAAAGTACGTGAACTATAAACTATGATTAGAAATGGAAATGGGAATTAATTTAAATATAGAAATAAAATATTGATGTAGGTCTTTTGTGAATTTAAATTGAAATTTGTGATAAGAGTTTAAATGATGTATCTCGTAAGTTTTGTACTTTACTTTATAATTGTTGAGATATTTTTCAAATAAAGTTTGAAATCTTATAAGGTTGTCTTTTACTTACGATTTGAAAGCACACTTGTTTTATGTTTAAATTGAATATATAAATGTTAACATAATCTGTAACGGAAATCTCATTTTTTAAGTTGAAAGCTTTCATTTTTAGTGAAACTATTGAAAAGCTTGCATTTTTTATACGCTATTTTTTAAATTTAAAACTATCCGTTTGGTTTAACTTAAAGCAAAAATTTTAGATTTCTCAAGATTGATTATGAAAAAAATAATTGTTTTCAAAAGAAAAAATAATTTTCGCAGCAAAAAATTGTAAGCATAGCGAACAAAAGCGGTATTTCGTACAACATAATTCCAAAACATTTTTTCAGAAAAAGTAATCGAAATTTTGCTTCAATTTATGAATTTAATGCAGTCAACCTTTCTTTTTTTCGCTTGTTTAGATCCTTAAATGAAAATATTTGTGTCAGCGTTTCTTTGTTATTTTATCATGAAATAATTTATAAAATGTTTCATAATGAAAATTTTGCGCATTTATTGGAGGATCTGCTACGTAATCTTCTTTGTTTTTGGTTTATTGTTCACCAGGAATTTTTCAATATGCTTACTCATTGTTAAATAGAAATCGTATTGCAGCATATTTGTCCGTATTAATTACTGCCTAGGCCTAAAAGAAGGCTGTTTAAAAATTTCCTTTAAACATCAAATTAGAGTTTTTTACACATGCTTGGTTTGATCCAAACTATCCTTATGATTTATCCATAAGAGTAACTTTCAAATATTTCACTTTTTTGCTCCAAACTCAATAAGTACTGTAAATTAATAAACGAATATTCTGTTACAATTATGAAAAACATAAATGTGGCACTGGAAAAAAATTTTGTCTCTCATGTCCAAAAAATAAGACATTTTGTCAAATGTACATAAGACATATATAAAAAATTGTTTTATTCTAATTTTACTTCATACATTTTGTAATACTTTACATTCACAATATCATTTAGTGTACGAATTAATTAACAACCTTTTTACTCATATCTCTTTAACTTAATAATATATAATGTACTTCAGAACTTTAATTCTCTGATGTTTTTATACAAGTTAATAAAACGTTCAAAAGAACATAAAATGAAAAGAAAATTTAACATTTTTTGGTTTCATATTTTTTGATGTAATTTGTTTAATAATTTACATAAGTTATGCTTGTTCGAAGACAGTTTTCATTAATAAGGAGTTTTATCTTATTAGAGTTCCAATATCAATTGGTTTTTACATTTATTAAATTGTTTTAAGATTTTTAATATTGTAAATTAGAGATTTGAAATAATTGAAAATTAGCGTTTGTATATAAAAAAAATTTTTTAACTTGGATATTAAAAGATGCATTTACAAGATTAAGCATTCTGAATTAAAACATTATCAGAATATTATTGTTTATGCAAGAAAATGATTAAAGCTAAAAAATTGAAAGGATTTTAATTATAGATTTAGTAAAAAGGATTTTTAATCAATAATTTTATAATGTTGTTATTAATTTAATAAATCTTTTATCACAAAAAAATATTATTATTTGAAAATGATGGAAATGTATTGAATTGAGCTATTTGATAAACATTTACAGCAGAAATTGACAATAATAATAAGTAGAGATTTAAAATAAAAATTAAATAACAAGAAATCGTTTATAGTTTTAACAAAAATCGTCTATAAATCCTGTCTTTATCGTGATTTATGTAACATCATAACTTAGTCTATACTTTTAGGCTACAAAACATGTCTTACATTTTTATATTCTTTCCTACTATTACAATTTGTTCCTTTTTTTTCTTTTAATGAACCTTATTTTTAAATCACAATAAGAAGAAAAAATTGAGCAAAAATTAAAAATTTCGTTTATTTAGTGAATCTATGGAGTTTATAACTAAGAATGTTTAAGCTGAAACATATCTTGGGATTTTTCATTCATTTAAATAACTATTTATTTAGAATGAAACATTTAGTCTCCACAAATTCACATCAAATACATTGTCATCATTTATGCTATTAATAAAAAGAATACAAAACAACAGGAATGCTGTTTAAAATTACTTTCATGACAGATCCGACATAAATCGCCATTGTTGTGTCTCAAGCGCAGAATTGCATCGTTCTGCAGTTATCCCACGTTCTGTCACCAACCGTGAATCTAGACATACATTTATTTTGCTATGCTGCAAAAGTCCTCCATCTCTCATCACCCACTGTTGATTTTCCGATTCATCACAATATTTCATTACAACCATTGAGCCGCGAGTGAAATTGACTAGTGTGAGACATAAATCAATATGCTTTATTTGACCACGTTTTGTAAAAATCCATTCCTGATTGCCGCCAGTTTCGTGACATTGATACAATCCTATGTAAAGGGAGAATAATTCACACAATTAACACAGTCATTCATTCGTAGATAATGAAAGATTCTTACCAATAGTTCCATCAACTAAATGTCCTAATGTATCCACACAATACGGTCCTTGTCTTATACTTCCTCTGGCTTGTGTTTCTGGTACGATAAGCTCAGGATAGACATTTTCTAAATACCATTTAAATGGCTTACAGTGAAGTTTTTCCTTTAATGCTAATCTATCTTCAATGCTATAATAAAATTTATTAAAGAAAAAATCAAAAAGAAAATAAATCGATTAAAGGAGTTGTTTTCATTACTGTTCAAACAATTGAGTGTGAAAAAATAAATGCACGGCTCATTGAGAATTGAAATGTGCACGCTCAGTAAACCCAAAAAGAGGAAAAATCAAAAAAAAAATTATACAAAGAAACAGTGAATGAAAAGCGTACATTTTGATAAAGCATGAACATTTGTTTTTAAAAATCAATGTCAAAAATATTGAAATAAATTTTTGCTTGTTGAACTGCTTATTCTTGCGTTTTGAAGAGGAAACTTTGTATTTTTTTTTTTGCTTTTTTGATTAATTTTTGTATTTGTCAATAAAATTTTGAAAACTAAAATAGTACTGAATGATAAAATACTTCCTTTTCCAAAAATACCTTTCCTGAAAAGCCTTAAATTGTTTTCACCCCAAAGATTTTATCTTTTCTCAAAACACAAGGATGAAAAATGGCACGCACACACAGCGTGACAAATCTTTGATCCTTCTTAAAGGCATTGAAAACAAAAAGGAAATAAATTTTCACTCACATGTGCCATTTGCACAAAACTTACTTTCCGAATGGAATATTCTTAGCCAATGGTACAGAAGCATAATAATACTGTTTATAGTCATCCATCCAAACTTCAGCAGCACGACGTGTGTTCCGAGCGAAAACATTTCCACTCCCGCCTGTCACGAAATGAACATAAGAAAAAAGAAATAAATATTAAATTATAGAATGAATTGAAGGAAGGCATATTTTCCTTAGAAAAAAATCGTTTTTAAATTTTCACGCTTGGACGATAGGAAAAGAGTGTATTACTAGGCGTGACTTTATGATTGTGTTTTTACACTATTTCACTTAAAATTTTTATCTGTGTCATAAAATATTTTTAAAACTTATATATATTTATATATATAAATAGACTTTTTGTAATGAAGAAAAATTTAATATGAGTTTGTATAAATCAAAATTTAAAACAGGAAATAATTGAATTTGCGATCTTTTTTGATCTTATTCAAGTAAATTATATTCTTGTTTGCATTTTATTGCAGAATATTTATGAGCTATTCTACAATCAAATTTATAAGAGATTGCAAATTGAAGGGAACTTAAATATATGTATCAAAACAAGAAAAGAAGCAACAACGAAAGTAAAAGAAAAATACGAGATTAGAATGTCAGAGAAAACTGACAAGAGGCTTTTAGGGATTCGTTTTGAATTGTTCTGACACTTTTTTATTGCAGAAAATGAAATTAAAGCAATAGTATGTAGATATAAATTACTACAATTGATTACTATTTTTTTGACTAGACTTACTTTTTAAGAAAAGTTTTTATTCAATGTAATAAAAAAGAGATTTTTGTAAATGTAATGTGTCAACAATCTTAACTCACCTGGGAAGGTGTAAGGATGTCTTTTCCTAAATACGTGTCCAACACGAGAACATGGAATAATCTCTAGACTTCCTCCACATTGCCACACACGGAACGATATTTCAAGATTTTCACCACCCCACACGTCCATTTTCTCATCATACCTTCCAAGTTTTTCAAAATATGTTTTATTAATAACAAACAACCCTCCAGCAATCATAGGCGTACGAATGGATGTTGTAGGATCCTTCTGCCTTGCTTGTCGCTCTTGTGGAGATAGATATTCCCATTTGAATACAAGATTCCAATCAAAACCACCACGAAGATCTGCAGATGCTCCAATGTATTGAAAATTATCCATAGATATGACGTCAATTACGGGACAAACGACTCTAGTTTCATCTTCAACGACACGTTCAATGAGTGGGGGTAACCAATCCTCATTACATTCACAATGACTGTCAAGAAATGTGAGAATCTCGGCTGTTGCAATTTCCGCTCCTTTTACTCTCGATCTCACAAGACCTTCTCGTTTTTCATTTCGAAGTATTCTTACTTTATTTATTTTTGCAAGTTCTAAACCATCTTCAGCTACATAAATAGCACATTTAGTGGGTAGAAAGATTTTGAGTTTTATGATGTTTGGCAGTGATATGAAAGATTTGAAATAAAGTTGAGAAGAAGCATTAGAGAAACAGGCATAGTATTTTGGGGTTTAAATAAAAGTTTTATGTTTTCATTTTACATATGTGTAAATGAATCAAAGTTTTTGAAATAAAAGGAGCTTAGAATAATAAAATTTACTGCTGAGTATTCCTTTTAAGATTTGAAGAATCCTACACTTTTATATTTACTTATCCCAAAGTGATTCAAAATTTATAAACCTAGGATTGCCAAACATCAGCATGTTGTTTTATGTATTATAGGTAAATGTTAATTTATTACAAAAGTGAACTGTATTTTATTTTAATTTTCCAATGAAGTACTTTTGCGATCATTTTAAATCTCAATTTTATTTCGTTGTTCTTTATCAAGTCAGTCAAAGAAAAATTGAGATTAGAAAACGTGTTCTGTTTATTTCTGATTTAATATGAATGCAAAAAACGTAACTCTAATTTTTGAAGAAACCTCTAATAAAAAACGGGTCATTTATTCTTAAGGTTTACCTGGGTTAAACACATTTGACATTTTGATTCGACATTTACTTTTCATGAATTTTATCGACATTTTTTAAAAGAAAATTTGGCAAGCACCGTAAGCACATTGAAAACACGAAAATTCTCAAATTTTTTCCAATGTCTATCAAGTGTCCTAAAAATAACAACGACTATGAAGCTATTCAACTTCCCCACAGTTTCCAGAATGTCAGAAACACAGCAAATCAATTTGACGTTTTTCTTTATACAATCACTTAAGCATCCAATAATACAAATGGTTAGATAATTTTTTCATGTATGAAATATTTAACTTAAATTGAATCTCAAGAAAATTAGGAACAAAATTAAAATACAATTAATAGAAATATGGTCAATATTTAATATGTTTTAATTAGATTTTAAATTCCAGTGGTATAAATTTATTTTAAAAATTTTGTTTTTTTATATCACGGAATCATAATTTTATTATAAACATAAAAGATAAAAATATATACGCGATGAAAAAAATAAATAAACTTTATGCATTCATGTTTTTTTTTTGCAAGTGAACCTCTTTTTACTTAAGAGTTTTCCTTATTCATATAGAAAATTGCATAAAGCATTTCGAGACTAAAAATTTTTTGGTTGCAATTTAAAGCACAAAAAAAAATAATTGTGTTGATTTATTTTCATACATTCTGAATTTTATCTTCTGCACATAAAGGCTCTCTAAAATGTGTTACAGCTCAAATGTGTTTACATAATACACCATAATACATTTTCATAATAAAAATGCATTATTTATACGCTTCCCAGAAAATTGCTTGTTGTTTCTTTTTTAAGCTTTATACTTTTAAATTCTTGATATTTTTAAGACAATTCTTTTTTTAAAAAAAATTATCAAATTCCAAAATATTTGAATCAAAATTACTAAAACCTATTCAAAATTAATAAAATATTCCATAGATTCATTTTATTTCGTTCATGAAAATAGAAAAGAAATTAATTTGAAAATAAAACTGAAGTAATTTATGAACAGTAATTTGAGCATTTAGAAAGGTACTTAATTACTTTGGATACGTTACACGTGCTCTGGGATCAAATGAGAAGTCTATGTGGATGCAATGCAATTTAAATTACATAGAAAAAAAAATTGAGTAAATTCTCAGCCTTGTAGGGAATTCATTAGAAGATTTATAGTGTTTCATATATTTGGTCGGCTAGATGCTCTATTTTATTAGAAATTTAAGCGTTCGGTGAATTTTCTTAGCTTCTTTTGTGTGAAATCAAAACATTTATGTATTAAATAATACTTACGATGATCCGAGAAGTCATCTACTAAAATAATTTCTTTAATTAAATGATCTGGACTCCTGTTAAGTACACTAGAAAAGAAAACATATATGATTATTTAAAATCAATTTTATTATTTTTAGCAAGTATGAAATATCAACAAACTCAACATTAAATTTGGATTCATGCATTATAAGTTTTTAAGAATATTTCATTCAAGAATCTATTTTTTTCTAGAGTGAGTTTGTATGTTGTGTAAATACATTCTTGTTACAAATGAGGTAAATTTTACTCCTGTTACTTTAAGGTACAATATTTGTGCTCTCCCGTAATTTCATATCTTTGGTTTATTAATAAATCGTAAAAAAAATTTATTATAGAACAATTTTTCTTTTCTTTCTTCCTACTTTTTGTTAAAAATCCATTATATAATAGGAATTATAAGTGGATGTCATGATGCTAAGAAAAGAAAAATTGGAACATCGAAAGGAAATGAAAAGAAAGGCAAGAGAAAAAAGAGTTAAAAAGTACATGAAAAGTTTTCCCATTTCTGTTAATATCCCATGTTCTCATTCGTGATACCTTTTAGCTCTGCATGAGTTAGGAATAAAAGAGGTTTTTTAAATGTGATGTGGTATAAAAACTTTTAATGTTGATGGGAAAGATTTATTTTATCAAATTTTAAATTTTTCTCTCATTTAAATATTTTAAAAACTAGTTAAAATTTTAATAGGTCTGAAGTACTTAATGCAATACAAATTTTTATTGGTTTATAATTCTCTTTAATTAGTGCTTAATTCTTTTAATTAAAGTATAGAAAATGTTGATTTATCATAACAATAGCATGTAGAGTAATCTTATTCCATATTCTACCATGGTTCATACTTATTTTTCTTACCTGACTATCGTTCTCAGAAGCGTGCTGCGAGCTTCGTTGTGGAATGTAATAACTGGTAAAAAATACAGGAAGAACAAAATGCATGAAAAAAATTTGGTTCCTTTAGAAAAATGAAAGTAATTATTTTTTCGCTATTACTCTTACCTACACTCGTTGGAGGTAAATTGCTTATCCATTTTTTTCTCCTGCACCTGTAAATAAGATTTTAATAACAAGAGTGACACTATTAAAATTAATGGAATAAAATTTTATATAGAAAACTTTTCATCCTGCAATTATATTACAATATGTTATAAAATAAATTGAAAGAAAAATTGACGAAGAATAGAAACACATTTGTTTTACAAAACCATGCATCCTTTGTCTTCAGAATTTTTTCAGAAAACTACTTTAATGAATCAAATAAAATAGAAAAAAAATTGAAATTAAGAAAGTAAAGGTAAAATAAATGAAACTCCAAAAGCTAAAAAGGAATAAAAAGTCAAAAAGCACGATGATGCCATAAAGTAGAATCAAATTTCAAGTTAATAAAAAGGACGAGTTTTATGGAAAAAAGACTTTTCACCATTATATATACTTTCAATGATGCTAGTGAATCATGTCGACATTTTCACTAGCTTTCTGTTTTTCATGGACAATTTTATCAATATTTATAACATATAAGTATACGTATTTTAAGAAAAATCGAAAAAAATGATTATAAAAGTATTCATCGTGTTATAATGTGGAAATAAAAATTTCAAACTTCACTGTAATCCCCTAAATAGATAGTCATCCTTGATGTACAAAAATAAAAAAAAGAGGAAAAGAATGAAAGAAAGAAATCTTCATTCCATGAATACAAATATATTTTCGAACACATTGATATCTTATCACTAAATATAAGAGTGTGAAAATACTGAAAAGGAATTTTTGAAGGGGCGATTTATTTTCTGTGAACAATGCTAACGGAGGTTTGAAATACAATCACGAAAATATACGTATATGGATATATTTTCCCTTCAGATAAAACGATAAGTATAGAATTAGACAACATGTCGATTTGATTATAATTGTGTTCAGAATATTAAATAAAAATTAAACCAGAGTAAATTAAATTCTATTTCAATATTGCTGTTTATAGAATGCAATTTCAAATTTGCAAAAAGTAATTCATTATTAAAAAAAATATACAAAAATATTCAAATCAAGTATTTTATTTCAAAATTCATACTATTCCCATGTGTTTATAAATCATATGTTTGTAAAAGATATAAATATATTGCAGAATAAATTGTAAATAAATATGTTATATCGTTGAATACATGAGATTGAATGGAAGAAATATGAAGAAGCATCGATATAAAAATGAGTACCAGAGGCATATAGAATAACATAGCAGAAATATGTATGCATGCTCTCTGTAGCTTAAAAATTTTCCGATTGTATAAAATGACAAAAGATAAACTCAAGTATGACAAGTTTTGATCACAAATACTGTTTAAATTTATTTATAGGTCGTGCGGAAAATTCAGATATGGAAAAGTTGAATACTGTCTTTGAAAGTTTACGGAAAATATTTTTATACATATTTGTGACGTGCCTTAAGTCTACTTGGGCTTTCTCCCAGAAAGTTGTATGCAAAATAAGTGAAAAATATGAAAACAAGAAATGCTGATGTGAAAATGATGTTGAATTTTATGATGTGTAATCATATTACAAAAATCGATAATTTTTTTTTATAAATTGCTGCACTTAGCGAGTTTTCAAAATACTTACATTGGATTTCTAGTATCTGGAATATCACGATTACTTGAAAGACTATCACTAGCTTGTTGATTAAAACGATTTCTTATATATGGATCTTCTCCTGTTCTCAATCCTCCCCTTTTTATATATCCAATCTCATCAAAATAATCCCACGAAAGTCGCGGTGGTGGTGCAGCATCTGAAGACGAAAATGACGCTAATGAGCCCAAATGATGATGATTATGAAGATTAATATTATTATTTGGTGATGTGGAAGCACTTATATCATCTCCCAAGAGACTTGATAATGTAACAACGCCATCACGCAATCTTAAAGCTCTATTTTCATTCTGAAATAAATAAAAACGTTGAAAAATGTTGAGTTTTACTAAAGTCAAAAGTTAAAATAAAATTAAATAGTGCTAATAAAAATTCTTCAAATCTATAAGGGCCCAACTACAATCGTAAAAAATGCCAAAAACATTTATTATGAAATCTTTGCATCGAAAATGCTTTAGAAAGAAGTCACCAGACATTCTTGAGCAATAATTTTCAAACCACAAGTGTTATAAGTGAGGATGAGATAGAGGAAATTGACTCAAGAGAAAGGATGACTCTAAAGTGAATAAGTAAACCACAAGAAATAATACAAGAAGAATTTTGGAGGGACAAAAAGAGAGAAAAATTATCATAATCACAGGCAATATTATCATTACATGACATTCATCTCATCATCTTTGTAGTGAAATGGAAAATGATTATCATTTTTTTGTTTTTTTTTCCTACTGATATTATATTCCTTCTTAGTGAATCATGAAATGGCGTTTAGTTTTTCTGGTATAATTTTGTTGTTTTTGTCTTCATCACAGTTGCCGCAAGGAAGCAAACAATTTTAGCTTAATATTGTAACATTATTTTTTTTTTATATTCTTGATGTTGTGACTGCTGAGAATGACAATCGTGCTTATAATGATGATGACAGTAAGAGAATTTTTACAGTTTGTTTTCATAGTATTGTTTAAAAGGAAATGAAAAGCATAGAAAGTGAGAAATGTATGAACTTAAGTATTATTTGATGTTTAATTTTAACACAACTAACAGTTTCATAATTACAAATTGATTTTTTATATCAAATTATCAAAAACAAATTTCAACTTTTAAATTGTTTTATTATTTTTGATGAATATTTTATCTCTTTATAACTTATGCAGCTTTAATATATTGTTATACAAAAGCATTATTTATTTTGATAAATAACTGGAAGCTAGATTTGAGCCTTACATCAAAACATTTATCAAATTTTGCACGCAATAAATACTCAGGTAGATAGAAACAAACATTTTGAGATCGTATCATTATATTCAATCAAAACATTATTATCTTAAATGTTTATTCGTTACGAAATAAACAAGCTTCAATTTCTTTTTCTTCAGAGTATAACGCAAGAGTTTTATATTTTTATTTGTCAGACGAATAAAGTAGCTATGCTAAAAATTGGTTCAATCCGTTTGTAATTTCTAAGTCTGTTTTATTTGTTATATATGATTGTTGTTGCGATTTAAATTTTTATATTTTTTGCAAGGTATTTGAAAGTTTTAGTTAAGATGGTCACGATTTCTTTCAAAAATTATAAAGGTATAATTATGAAATCAGTCTATACAAGTCTTAAAACGAACTTCACTTTCTTCAATATGAATAAAAATAAAAAATAATGAAATATGTGGCTTTTGATCCATTTAAATTAATATAGAACAATATCAAAGACATTTTGGCAAAGCATCATTAATATACACAATATAGCTTTAAGTTTGCCATTTTTTGAAACAGTGATATTCTATCATCACTCAATATTATAGAAACCATAATTTTGTTTTACATTTTTAAATCACATTTTATGGTAAATCACTACATATGCTGGGGGTCTTTGATTTTAGTATGTGTTCCAGAAAAATCCTGTTCAAATCGAATCTACTCAATTTGAATTATTAATTTTTATATTCACACCGTTTTCACGTGTGAATCTATTGGTTTTGTTCAGATTGAAAAATCAGTTTTTAGAATTTTGTGAGGATATGGAGCAAGAAAGCTTAAAATGTTCAGAGATGAAAAGTTTGTGCCTTAAATTTCACATCTTTTGCAAAAAACAGATTTCAAATTGGTTGCGGCATTGCTGAGAAAATCGCAAAATATGCTTTCTGTAAGCAAGCAAACAAGCAAACAAGCAAGTTAATCAGCAAGAAATCTCAATAACGAGACATCGTAGAGACTTCTAGTTTTTTACATTTGATCCGTGCTGCTTTATAGAAGAGCTGTATAGTTTTTGGGCAAGGTAGGAACAGCCGTTGCTTCAGAAAAAGCAAAAAACTTTCCTTTCTTACGAATTTTTCAAATTAAAAGTTCACTGTGATTTTTTTTTATTTTAAATTAAACTTTGGATGAAAAAAATTTTTTTTGAGCAAAGAACCAAGAAGGAAATACATTTTCAATTTTGGACTAGGGGCTAGGGTTTGTGGAAATTTGATTTTTAAAAACAGCTGTTTTCCTGTTTTTCTAGAATTCAAAATAAATTGAGTTATCCTAAGTGTTTCTCTAAGATATAAGCAGGTGGTTATAAGCAGTTAAGCATACATTTTAGAGCTAAGCATTATTATTTCTTATTTTTTTATGTTAATTAACTCTAAAAAATATAATGAAATATAAAAATGCAAAAAAACATCCAAAAAAATTTATACCTCTAAGTAACATTGCATTGTTGCATTGTAAAAGTTCCATAAGCTCTAATATTTTATTTGAAACATTCAAAAAATCTTTCTGAATAAAAAAATATCTTGTAAAATTGTTGATTATATTTTTAAACTTTAGTAAATGCTACAAAAGGTTCAACAAATTTAAAATTTCGATTGCAAAATTAATAATGATTAACCATTAATTTGGTAATGATTTCAAACCTATTAAAGATCCAAAAAATATTAAAAAAGTAAATACATTTCAATTTGGAATGCTAGAAAAATATATTAAGTTCTTCAAAAAAATTTTTTTTTCTGTAAATTTTATATAAAAATGAAAAACAGAAAACAGATCTGTTTTTGAGACCTGTTTTCGTTAACAAATTTTTTTCGAAAAACAGCTGTTTTTCTGTTTTCTGTTAACAGATTCCCCAAACCCTACTAGGGGCGACCCTCAATTTTGTCACTTTTTTCTTCGAGGGTTTTTCCAAATGGATTGAAACTTTGTATTAATATTCTTGTGTTTAAAACAAATACAAATAAAACATCCTAAAATTTTTTTGAGCAAAGAACCAAGTAGAAATACATTTTCAATTATGAACTTGGGACAGGTCTAGTCAAAATCTAGTTTTTCATTTTTTTTTTCGAAGGCTTATCTAAATGGATTGAAACTTTTTATAAATATTCAAGTGCTTAAAACAAATACAAATAAAACATCCTAAAAATTTTTTGAGCAAAGAACCAAGTAGGAAATACATTTTCAATTTTGGACTAGGGGCGACCCTAGTCAAAATCAATTTTGTCACTTTTTTCTTTGAGGGTTTTTCCAAATGGATTGAAACTTTGCATAAATATTCAAGTGCTTAAAACAAATACAAATAAAACATCTTAAAAGTTTTTTGAGCAAAGAACCAAGTAGGAAATACATTTTCAATTTTGGACTAGGGGCGCCCCTGGTCAAAATCAATTTTGTCACTTTTTTCTTCGAGGGTTTTTCCAAATGGATTGAAACTTTTTAGAAATATTCAAGTGCTTAAAACAAATACAAATAAAACATTCAAAAAATTTTTTTGAGCAAAGAACCAAGTAGGAAATACATTTTCAATTTTAAACTAGGGGCGACCCTAGTCAAAATCTAGTTTTTCACTTTTTTCTTCGAAGGTTTATTCAATTACAGTGAAACTTTGTGTGAGTATACTTATATTTATACAAAACAGTTTTAAATATCTAAAGCAAGAAATGTATTCTATATGTCGTCAGACCCAAATTTTATAAATTTGGTTCTACATGTAAAAACAACGTGACTTAAAATTTTTCCAAAAAAATGATTTTTATTAATTCAGAAATGTGTGACCTGAGGATTAGAATGCTCATACAAAGTTTTACTGTATTTGGATTTATCCTCGAAGGGAAAAAAGTGAAAAACGAGATTTTGACTAGACCTGTCCCAAGTTCATAATTAAAAATGTATTTCTACTTGGTCCTTTGCTCAAAAAATTTTTTGAATGTTTTATTTGTATTTGTTTTAAGCACTAGAATATTTATGCAAAGTTTCAATCTATTTGTATAAACCCTCGAAGAAAAAAGTGACAAAAATGATTTTGACTAGGGTCGCCCCTAGTCCAAAATTGAAAATTGATTTCCTACTTGATTCTTTGCTCAAAAAAATTTTTGAATGTTTTATTTGTATTTGTTTTAAGCACTAGAATATTTATGCAAAGTTTCAATCCATTTGTATAAACCCTCAAAGAAAAAAGTGACAAAATTGATTTTGACTAGGGTCGCCCCTAGTCCAAAATTGAAAATGTATTTCCTACTTGGTTCTTTGCTCAAAAAATTTTTTGAATGTTTTATTTGTATTTGTTTTAAGCACTCGAATATTTATGCAAAGTTTCAATCCATTTGTATAAACCCTCAAAGAAAAAAGTGACAAAATTGATTTTGACTAGGGTCGCCCCTAGTCCAAAATTGAAAATTGATTTCCTACTTGTATTTGTTTTTAACACTAGAATATTAATGCAAAGTTTCAATCCATTTGTATAAACCCTCAAAGAAAAAAGTGACAAAATTGATTTTGACTAGGGTCGCCCCTAGTCCAAAATTGAAAATGTATTTCCTACTTGGTTCTTTGCTCAAAAAAATTTTAGAATGTTTTATTTGTATTTGTTTTAAGCACTAGAATATTTATGCAAAGTTTCAATCCATTTGTATAAACCCTCAAATAAAAAAGTGACAAAATTGATTTTGACTAGGGTCGCCCCTAGTCCAAAATTGAAAATGTATTTCCTACTTGGTTCTTTGCTCAAAAAATTTTTAGAATGTTTTATTTGTATTTGTTTTAAGCACTAGAATATTTATGCAAAGTTTCAATCCATTTGGATAAACCCTCAAAGAAAAAAGTGACAAAATTGATTTTGACTAGGGTCGCCCCTAGTCCAAAATTGAAAATGTATTTCCTACTTGGTTTTTTGCTGAAAAAAATTTTTGGATGTTTTATTTGTATTTGTTTTAAGCATTAGAATATTTATGCAAAGTTTCAATCCATTTGTATAAACCCTCAAAGAAAAAAGTGACAAAATTGATTTTGACTAGGGTCGCCCCTAGTCCAAAATTGAAAATTGATT